ATTCATGCAACCTATCTGCAAAATGAACCATTCTGCCACATTCTAGGCCCACACAAAAAACTGTATCAAGTACAAAGTACTTACACACTCAAATGTCACAATACGTTGGCTAGTTACAAACTGTCACATACAGAATGGGAGAAAAGGAAGTCAAAACAACACGTATATAACAAAATGTTCTACTGAAAGCATCTGAGGTGGAAGACAATAATCTCACTCCCCATGATAGGGTAATCATGATAGTGCTGGTCAGCAGAGGAACCCTACAATTTAACAAGGGGGGGGGTCCTTTGCTTTCCCAAGGCTTTAACTGTGGTAGATATGAAGACAATTATATGTGAGCAAAAAAATCTGTACAAAGATGCAAGTGGGGATCAAACTCAGAACCTTATGAATGGGTATAACAGCTTACCCCAGGACCTTTTTCTTAAGGACCTAATTTAAGTGGCTCTAGTGTTGCTCCCAACTCAGTCACTATGTTACTATGGCTAATGGTAGACAACTAAAAGAACATGTGAGTGGCACGATGACAATACAGAGTTTCACATAAATCCATCAGTTGGTTCACACATTATCGTGAGGATGACACACATGGATGATAAACACGGTAGTCCCATAATCTTGTCTGTTTCCACTGAAAAACTGCTTCCTCCTTGGAATTTTTTTCTTAAAATGGCAATTACTGTGGAAACATTTTCTGCTCTAAAGAATGTACTACCACTGGACAGGCTACCTTCCACAGTGCGACCTATCTTAAAAACAGATATGCTGTTAGCTGTGCTAACCTGAAAGCCTCCTTTGCATTACGCACATGTGCATCATTATCTGTGTAGTCGAGTTTAACATCTGGTCAGTAGCCCTCCTCCTCCTCTTTGAAGTCTGAAGTTGGACCACTGTAGCGCTCGCAACGCCCAAACTTTTCATCATCTCTGAAACAATAAAGCAATGCTGTATATTACATTTCTTAATTAGTTTTGCTTGCTTACTTCGTCCTGTATTGACCATCGTGTATACCTCCCTAATATTCGATTGGGTCAATCCTCACAGACAAGAACAGACTTGCAATCCAGTCATAGAGAACATGACAAAGCATTCAAAGCTGAGATATTCTTTACCCTTCAAAATCTCCTAGTCTACTCCATAACCAAATAAAGTGACCGATCCTTGTGCCCATGACAACTCTTTTCCCTAAGGCCTGCTGCGGAGAAGACTTGACAGCTACAGGACAGCTTAGGTGACTTGGTCTGCAGCCATCTGCTCATGCTAGTTCCTCGCTTGTGGATTTTTATACCCCCTGAAGATGGAGGAGATACATTCCTCCAATACATCGGTTTACACAATATCTATACAGTGCCACATCCCAGAAGACGCCATTCTTCATGAGTGACATTCGATACATACCAAGACACTATGCAGAAAAAAGGGGTGGGGGCTGGAAGTAAAGTTATCTCTGTAACAGACCATGGAGGTCCATAGGTTGTGAGACATTAAGGCTTCCACATTTTCTAGACAATCTGCTCATCGGTGGCAGTGAGGTTGTCAGCCTTACGCACCAGCCGCACTTTACCTCCCACGAAAATTCCTGGTATTCATTTCTGTTAAGAGGCTGAGTCGACCCCAGGGTCATAGTGTAGCTGGAAGGATTAGGTCAATTGAAAAAATTCATGACCTCATCGGGACTTGAACCCACGACCTTCCAACTTGTAGCACAGGGCCTCAACCAACTATCCTACCGATACTAATATTAAACAGTAATGATTAATGTGTTTCTACTAGAACCCCTAACAAAACTGCAGTATATGATTAAATATGGTACAGCATTTATGAAATACTCAAAATATAAATGCACAATTAAAACCAATACTAAAGTGTCAATATCTCTTAATTTGAATAGGCCTATGTTGTACATAAAGAATCTGCTAATGACTCACCAATCTCAACTTCATTCCAAGTTCCATTTGCCTTCTTCCTGACGTTTCTTCCCTTCAATCACTTTCCTCTCAAAGTCCTGTAATGTAATTTGTGTATGAGATTAGCAGAAAGCAAATGAGCAGTCCAAAAATTACCAATTCAAAATTACCTTGAGATGGACTGAAATCTGAACTGCTTACCCACCAACCACTGTATAAAACATTACTGCACTGTAAAGTACTGACTATGCTGTGTAGGATTTGAGCTTCTGACAGTAATGGTTTTGAAGAGTNAACATGGCACACAAAGAAAAAAGAAATAAAAGATGGGGAAAAAAGACTGGATTTGAGATTCTTGTAGAGGAGATTAAGAAAGGCATTATCTTCTGGGAAGTAACATCCTGTAAGTCCACTGACATTCCTTCAAAATGCTTATGGACCTTATCACATTATAAAACATTTTATTTCAGAAGGTACCACTTGTCAAGAAGAAAAAGGTTCTACCATCTCAACTGTCACATTCTTATTGTATCATGAGTGCTTTCATTTCTAGGGGATGTCACCAAACGTACGGCAGAATTCTGCAGTACCATTCAGCACAATGGAACCACCTTCCGTGTTTCCTTCTGAGTTTCTCTCCAGTACTGCCTCTGCCACCTACAAACATCACAAATCACAAACAGTTAAATTATGTAGCTATACAGCATTCTGTTTTGTAGTTTCCATAAATGCAAAGCTGTCCCTATGCTTAATTAGTTATGCTCTAGATGGAGGTTAGTGGCCAGCTCCATGCTACTCCCACACATGAGGAAACAGCCCCTGGTGCCTATTTGACAGGAGGTTGTAACAGGTCTCAATAACCAAAATACAAGAAAGGATGATAGTATAAAAAAAAAGGAACAGCTCTCCCTGTAACAGGCCGTGGAGGCCCATAGCGGTATGAGATGTCGAGACTCCCATACTTTCCCGACAATAAGCTCGCAGATGGCGGTGAGGTTGTCAGCTTTAGACACCAGCTGCCCCCAAGAACATTCCTGGTACTCATTTCTGTTAGAGGCTGAGTTGACCCCAGGGTTATAGTGGGACTGGAAGGATTCAGTCAATCTAAAAATCCAATTACCTAACTGGGAATCGAACCAGTGACCTTTCAGTTTGTAGCATAGTAAGAAAGGATGATATTACTTAAATGTGAAGATATGATTTACTGGTTTCAGGCCCACCACAACAAACTGTGAAACAAACAATTTAACAGCCCTCCGGTTAAATTACAATATAGTTTCTATAGGGTACAATGGTTCTGTACAGTAACAAAGGAGAAAACATCATAATGAACTTTACTACAAAGTTCGGTGCAACGTTTTATAACTGGAATATGTGGAGGCACTGTGTAGGAACTAAACATGGCACAGGATTCTGTATCTAGGGACAATTTCATCACCTCCCACCACCTATCCACAGGGCTGCTCCTCTCTTGTCTCAGGGAGAAAAAGCAGAGAGGCAGGTAAGAGGGAGATGGCCTTGACTTGAACAAGAGAAATGATCCCTACTACAGCCAAACATTTGTGAGAAGGATTAAAAAGGAAATCTGCAGATGTGATGTACCTTTTCCACACTATTCTTTGATTCTGTAACAGCCTCCTGCAGCTTCAGTCTCCATGCTTTCGCGAGGGCTATCTGCAGCTCCAGTTCACTGTCATCAGGCTCAATCTTGATGTTGGACACTATCTCTTCTGGCGCTGAAAGTTGTGTCTGATTATTAATAACATTCAAAACTGCTCCTGCACCACATTTCCTTTCATGATTTCACAACACACTTCGTAGCGGAAACTATATAGTATCAAATAGTTGATGGTTAGTAAATAATGTATTCAAAAGTCTTGGTGCTTGTCACCTGATTAGGGATACTACATCCAATCAACATTTGCCTGGTGGTACTGTGAAAAACCATGAAAAAAACCTATGTCAGGTTAGCCAGATATTCCAGCGGAGATTCATGAACACAAGAACCCAGTCGCCCCCTACTTTTTTTTAGTTCAAACTGTGAAATAACACAAGTCTGGGTCGCGCCATAGCTCAAGCGGTTAGTCGCTGGCTTCCCACCACAGCGGCCCGGGTTCGAACCCGGGTCTGGTCAAGTGGGATTTGTGGTGGACAAAGTGGCGCTGGGGCAGGTTTTCTCAGAGTACTTCGGTTTCTCCTGCCAATCTTCATTCCACCAATTGCTCCACAATGACCTTCACCTATCATCTGGGGCTGGTACAATAGGCCAGAAGTAGCCGCAGTACAAGGGACTTAGTCCCACCCCACTTGCAATAAAAAAATGAGTCTGTACTTACGTTACCATTGGGCGTTAGTTTCTTCTTGTAGCAGTTCAATAATTTTTTGTACTGATCTGAGTTCTATTTTAAATTTATGACAATAAGCACTCCTTACCTCACTTGTTTCACTACTATCACTGATGAAAACTTGAGTGTCATCACGGTCATCATGGTCATCATCTGTCTTCACCTTCACGCCTTCGACCACTGCACGATCTGCCATTTTGGATAACAATAAGTGGGATGATCGATGGATCGAAGGTTATCGATCTCTCGGGAATTACTTATGCAGTTCCTAATAATTTTGTAGAAACACCAAAATTATTCAACTTACAAAATAATTTATACTCTACATCACACAGCTCTCGTATTCTGAGTTCCATTAAACTACAAGAACAAAAATAGAATTAATTTTGAACTTTGACCAAAGATAATGCAATATTTGTACATTTTAAATTGGATTGATAGCTCAGTCGGTATAGGTACAGGCTACGCACTGCACGACTGACCATTCAGATCCACGTTCTGATTACATCCTCTCTTGCTCATTAGATGTCACTACTGAGCACTGCAGAGTCACGTGAATTGTAATGGTAGCTTTTGAGAAATAAAATAAATGCTCTGGGATACGCTCAAACATATATAAATTTGGTTAATTGTTTTTAGGGTGTAAGTACACATATCTACATTACGTATGTATTCATGAATAACCTTTTCTTGAAACCAAGTCTGAGTTTTTCAGAAGTTGTAGGAAGTAAAAATAACCTACTTACGGAGTATAAGTCAGCTGAGTGATTACTATCTGCAGGACCATAGATTTAGATTTGAGTAATTGATCAGTTGTTTGCGGATGGAAGTGTAGTTTTAAATAAAGTAGTAGCCCATTGCAGCACCATTGAATCCCATAATGAAACATTTACAGAAACTAAAATTGCTGTTACGTATATTTATTTATTAGGTAATTTACGTGTTTCGTAGACAGCAGAAATGACAGAATACTGGTTAATATCTGCCCCAGGCGATAAAACTTGCCAGCAGACTTGGGAAACAATGAACAATGTAACGAGCAAACAGAACAACCTGTCAGTCAATTACAAGTTTCATATCCCAGATTTGAAGGTAAGTGGTTAACGTTATGTTCAGATTAATCTTAACGTTTAAGAAACTCTGTGAAACAGCGTTATTCTTGAGACCCCAATAGTTGAATTGTGTAAGAAATTCCTTGCCATTTATGGAACCAAGTTTCATTATTGTGTTCTTAAGAGCCCACCACTGGTTTCTATACCAAGCCATATAAACGTAACACCCTATTTCAATAAGACCAAATGTAAGCTCTATCTGTGCCTGAGTCTCTCATTTTTCTAACTTGGAATAATTTGAGGGAAAGGAACTTTACATGAATTTTATGTCAGTCATTGAAATGTGTTTTCTAAGTGTTAAAAGTGTAGCTAACAAGTGGGTTATGTCCTGTCATGATATGCAGTGATATCAGTGTAACCATCAACATGGCAATCCTAGATCAGTACCTTAAAAATGCAGTTTTTATGGAACTGAAGAGGTTCTTCAGATCTCTGCAATGTTTCCCGAGATATCAACCTCACTGTTCCACCTGTGACTAGATTTTGGAAAGTGACAAGCCAACACAATTGTGTGTGTGCATTTATTTTTACCACATGGGTAACTTAAACAGAAGAGTAGCACAAAACCCAGCCTCCTGCTAAAGAAATATTTTTTTGTTTCATGTTTTATGGGCAGGTTGGAACACTTGATCAGCTTGTTGGATTATCAGATGACTTGGGAAAGCTTGATAACTATGTGGAACAAGTCACAAGGAAAGTAGCAGCTTATCTGGGAGAAGTCTTGGAAGATCAGAGAGATAAACTCCATGAGAATCTTCTTGCAAACAATAGTGCGTAACAAATAATAGTGATTGTACAATTGATAGGTTAGAATATTCTAAAGAGGTCACAATACTGAATGTTTGTTTTTTGTCTGCAGGTGACTTACCGGCATACATCACCAGATTCCAGTGGGATATGGCAAAATATCCTATCAAACAGTCACTGCGAAATATTGCAGACATTATAAGCAAGCAGGTTGCACAGATTGATGCTGATCTCAAAACAAAATCAACAGCATACAATAACCTGAAGGGCAACCTTCAGAATTTGGAAAAGAAACAAACGTTAGTTATAAACTGATGCTTATTTTTATTTCCATAATTTAACTACATTACTACTTTTTATTTTATAAATAAAGTTCAGCAGATCTCAATGCTTTTCAGCTTTGAAAATTTTATATAGATTTTTGTGATATTTTTATTTATAAAATTCCTTCTTATGTTAAATTTCAGTTTTGTCACAGATCTTCTACTTTGCTCATACTTTACTGCTTTATGTTTTCTGTTCCTGCTTCCTACCATTTTCACCTCTTGCTCATTGCCTTTAGAGTTGAGATAGCATCACAGAATAAAACATTTGTACAGTAATGAGCTTCTAATGCTGTAACTGAAGTGCCAATTATATTACGTAAGTTGATAATACTGTTGAATAGGTTGGCTCGAGGGTAATGCATTGAGATTGTTCTCTGAAGGTAACTGGTTGAAATCTGTACCACAGCACTGGCTGTTATGGTTTTCCAGGAAACTGCATATGGTACTGTGAAAGAGACCATGGCCACTACTTTCCCATTCTTTCCAGTTCATATTCATATTAATGTGTCTTCCAGACATCTATGTACATAGGAGGGTTGGAACTTTAATAGTGGCAACTATTTATTTACAACATTGTGTACAATGCGTTGCCAGCGATGTGGAAGTCATAGGATACCTTTAGCAGCATCTGTTGTGTTGATAGTTCGAATGGACCAGTCTACTGCCTGAAGAATCTCTGGAATGGTTCTGAAGCGAATGCCACGACGTGATTCCTTCGTCTTAGGAGTCAAGTCAAAGTCACAAGGACTTAAGTCTGGGGAGTATGGTGGATGGTACAGCACTTCCCAGCTCCATCGATTGAACAAATCAGCTACAGCTTGCCATTTCTTAATTTCCGTCAAATCATGCAGAACCCATCGCGATGCAATTTTTCTCATGCACAGGCATTCCTTCAGAATGTGAAGCACGGTAGTATGTGCTAATCCTGTCTCTCAGGCCAGCTCACAAATTGTATGGCGTCGATCACTATCCAGTAACGCGGAAAGAGCATACACTTCTTCACTGACAGTAGGACGACCTGGCTGACGCATGTCTGCCACATTTTGGCATCCCTCGTTGAAGGCTTTTACCCACCTTGCCACTGTTCTGCAAGGCAATGCAGATTCCGTGCAAGCCTCTTGAAGACCTTGATGACACTGTCGTGCTGTACGGCCTCTGGCACATTCAATCTTTATCCAACTCCATTCCTGTTTCAAAAACATCGTGACAACTCTACATTAGACTGCCAGCTAATACAAGGCTCTGTTCTTCTCGTCACTGTGCATGTGCATGATGTGGGAAGGGAGAATCCATTTGCTCTGAGGTAAGGTAGGTATGTAACTAACGTGTGGTATAAGTGACATTATTTGGTTCCATTGCATGGTGTCTCTACAGCTGTGTTGCCATTAATAAAGTTCCAACCCTTGTAGATATAGAATCCATCATCATTTATACTAGATAACAAAATAATAATAAGATATCTAATCATACAATATAAATCCAACGATATCAAAAAGTATAAAACATACATATGCATCTATAATAGGCCACATACAATGTATCACTCGCTATGCAAGTTAACACTATAATAAAATAATTGATCATACAATTTAAATCTGACTGTACATCCAAATCACAATAACAATCATTTATGTACAAAATATAAAATATGCACATAATCTACAATAGGCCACATATAATATAATCACTCTTATCATCAAAATACATGGCTTAATTATAAGATCTTATTGTTTTAATCCTATTTCTAGTCATGTTTCAATTTAAAAAAATCCTCAATGGTATAAAAGGAATTCTGTAATAAGAATGTTGTCAACTTAGATTTAAAACTCATGTCGTTAAACATAGACTTACTTTCAGTTGGCAGACAGTTGAAGATCTTTATTCCCGTATAACATATTCATTTTTGGAATAGTGTGAAGTTAGTTTGGGGGGAGTTATATAATCATCCTGTCACTTAATTTGATACCCCTGTTGTCAGTTGAAGGATTTCTGCATTGGTCCCTTGGTTACAGAGGAAGTCTGCTCACCAGAAATCTTGCTGATCTTGTAAAGAAGGAGCACTTCATTTTGGACTCCGAGTACCTCACAACTCTGCTGGTCATTGTACCAAAGTAAGTTCCAATTGTCTACCATACATTAAATAAAGTAAAAAAGTAGCCTAAAAGAAGAAATACTATAAGAACGAGAAAATTATGTTCAGAGATTTGTGTTTATGCTCATTGCATAATACCACTGGGGTAATTAATTGAAGATGGCAAGGTGGGTGGGATATATGGCACACATCAAGGAAGCAGAAAATGCATATACCTTTTTGGGTACATAAGCTTTGTTTCTAATTTATAATCCATTTCGAATATGTATCACCAGTTACTTTTGGCAGGGCATCCTTTGCTGACTGGCATCAAGGATATGAGAAACTGACAGATATGATAGTCCCTCGTTCAAGTCAGATGGTCAGTCAAGATGGTGACTATGGGCTCTTCACCGTCACGCTCTTCAAGAAGGTGGTGGATGAATTCAAACTCCATGCACGTGAAAGGAAGTAGGTGACAGTCACAAGATATGCTAAGAGACAATGTCCAACATGCCCAGTATCAGAATTTGAAGCTGAATTTTAATTTGCAGGTTTGTTGTTCGTGATTTCACGTACAACGAAGAAGAACTGGCAGCTGGGAAGAATGAAATTACAAAACTTGTAACGGATAAGAAGAAACAGTTTGTAAGTCATAGCAGTTTATAATTCTGTCTGATGTTTAACTACCCTATTCAAGGATTTACCCATTGATAAGGTATACTCATGAGCTTATCCTTGTCTGGATACATATGTCATCTCTTAAAACGAATTTTAATATCTTTTTTTTTTCATATATTTTAAATCAAATATACAAAAAGTTCCCTAACCCTTTGTTACAGAACCTTTCAAGCATAACTGAGTAGTTTACCACTTAAGTTCGTTCAGACTCATAACAGGATAGGTTTGTGACTGACTGTGAGACATGCACACACAGGGTGTAATCTTGAAATGTAACATCAAAATTTTGGAGGATGGCTGAAAATATTCCATGAGAAACATGGATGAAATATGAACGTTTTATCTTAGATTTACATATACTCAAGACCCAAACAGGCCACATATGACTGTTTTTCCTGCTGCTTACTGTCACCATAAGAGTTTGTATGTCAACAGTTGAACATTAAAATTAAGGTCAGAAAGCAAAGAAGATGCAAGAAATAAGACTGAATATATTGTTGGATTTGGGGTTCTCATGGCAGTGGCTATAAAAGGTATGGTCTGTGTTGTAATGGGATGTAGTTTGGATATAGCTTGATGTTTCAGAGAAATATATCACCTCCATCTTCAGTGTTGCAAAGTAAACAAAGCAAGAAACTGGCAGAAGCAGAGAGCTGAGCTTGCTGCCTGCCTGTGTTCCTCTGAGACTGGGCAGACTAAATGGCATTGAAACCTACAAGTCTGTACTCTGAATATATTCTGTTCCAGACTATATGTAATATCTAGTGTCCACCGTGAAAATGGAGGCAGCAGGTTCCTCCAAAATGTTGTTAATCATCTGCCAGACTACACAGCATCACATCACAGTATTCAGAAGGGCCCAGTTTCAAATCTCAGTCCAAAAACTGGCTCTTTAGGCAGGCTTGTCATCATATTTCACAGTTTCTCCAGGAAAATGCTGGCACAATCACTTCTTTCCACACATTTTCCAAAAATCATCTTGTCACTCAATGTTATATAGTTGTTAAATAAACCATAATATTCATAGTAAAAGTAAAGGTATCCCTGTAATAGGCCATGGAGGTCCACAGGGTTGTGAGATGTTGAAGTTCTAGTCAGTCGGCTCATAGATGGCGGTGAGGTTGTCAGCCATGTATGCCGGCCGCCCTTTACCCCCAAGAATATTCCTGATACTCATTTCTGTTAGAGGCTGAGTTGACCCCAGGTCCATAGTGCGGCTGGAAGGATTAGGTCAATTGAAAAAACCCATGACCTTCAGGCTTGTAGCATAGTGCTTCAACTACGCTACCACGTGATTATGTAATTCGGATTTAATGTGAATGCTTGTTTATAGGGTCCACTGGTAAGATGGCTGAAAGTGAACTTCAGTGAGTGTTTTTGTGCTTGGGTCCATGTTAAAGCCCTGAGAGTGTTTGTGGAATCAGTTCTTAGGTTAGTTAATCTATGAATATTTTGTAATTATTGTTATTCTAAAGGTTACTAAAATTTTTAAGTCATAAAATGTGATCATTTTCTCTGGCTGTGTTAGGTATGGACTGCCGGTGAACTTCCAGGCCATGCTGCTGTATCCACACAAGAAGAATACAAAGAGACTCAGAGATGTTTTAAATCAGCTTTATGGACATTTGGACAGTAGTGCAGTACAGAGCTCTGGTGCTCATGATGTATGTATTGTCTGTAACAGTGTGACGATAGAATCCAGATCCTGCCATTGGACATAGTTCTGAGTTCGCATTCTCACTACATATGAAAATCCATTTTAATATCAGCTATCTCTTGTTCTTGAGAGGTCTTGGTTTGATTCTCCTAGCTAGTGATGCTGACAGGTTTTCATGGTCTCCCCCAGTTCCCCAAGGCAAATAATGATATAGTAGCTCAAAACAAGTCATGACTGCTTCCCTACATATTTTATACAATTCATCATCATCATCATTTGATTTGATTCTGTATAACATACACAGTTGAAAAAGCTGATTAGTATATCTGTCAATTGTTTGGGTTTACTCACTTTTCTTATTTTTGCAGAGTGTCGACATTCCCGGCTTGGGTTTTGGCCAATCAGAGTACTTCCCATATGTTTACTATAAGATTAATGTGGACATGATGGACACCAAGGTATAATTGTGTTGTCTCATAGCAGCAGTTGGAAGAATCATGCAGTTTTACTGGAATGCAGGCAGTAGTATTACTGTTATGTAGTCATGGGGACAGCAACAGGTTAAATAGTGACTCCACAAGCATTCATGGCAACAGTGAGAAATGTCACTGTACAGTCTGTATTCTTAGTAGTGTCACAAAACAGAGAATTTCTTCTGATCTTATTGTTCTTTCTTTTTACATGCTGACTCATGAGAGTACAGCATGTCACATTCCATGTGGTGTCAGCTGTTACCTGTATGTAAAATAAAACACTCAGAGTGTAATTAGTTTTCTGCACTACCTGTAGTGTCATGTGTATAGAACTGTTGTATCAAGTTAACAGTATTCCCCTGTGGTGGTTGTCATTTTATATCCTTTAATCTTGTTTCATTGTATATTCTCATGCTGAGTTAGGTATATAAAATAGCACAAAATAAAAATCAAAGGAATTTATATGATACGTCTTTTACTACATATCTTTTTTTTAAACTCCTTGATTTCAGAATATTTGGTTCCTTCATAACTGATACTGTACTTGCACTCCTTAAATCTTTTGGAATTGGATTCTGTCTAGTTCTCTATGGGGAATTAATTTGTCCATTATTATTGTAAATGATGTAGATAATTTTATGTGATGTGAATCACATGCCTTCCATTCAATGGAAGATTATATATACAGTAAAGAAACAAGTTCTTTCCATCATCCGTCATTACACACTTCTCTGTTGAAGATTGAACACTCAAGTTGACCAGTGTAGTTACATCTAACATTGTTCTAATGTTATTGTAAGTTGTGTAAATTATGTATTGTGTTCACAACAGATGTAACCAAACTTATATTTTACTTGTATATAACATTCCATACCATTAAGATTGTGAAAAACATGAGTGAGAAAATAAAATTCATTAATGCAGAGTTGAGACTTACAATTTAAATTTGTGTATTCATGTGTGTGTGTGTGTGTGTGTGTGTGAATGATATGACTTATAAATATCTGACTCTTGACATTATGTAGTATAAATGTTCAAATAGCCTAATGACTTCATAGTACCAGTATCTGACTGCAATTTGAGCTGTCATTTGATTACAAGTGTTAATACAGCATTTATGGAATTATGATAACATGTTAAAAAATATTTAACAATTTTAATGTGAAGATTACTACTTGTCTTCTGGTTAAACCCATATGGATGGATACCAGTGTTTCAGACAACTGTGTTGCCTGGCTTAGGGAAGCAGCTCATCTACCCAGAATATGGCAGTAGTAGGTTTGTCTGAAATTATAACCATCCACCATGCTTTAGCATCACATCCCAGAAGGCAGTAATCTTCATAGTCAATGCCGTGAGAACCACAAATCTTACAATGTAATTGTGGGTGAGGACAGCTCAGCAAATTGACTGGATGACGGGTTTAGTCCTGACAGAGCCAGGAATTTTACTCCTTGCCATCTAGAGCGTGAAGCTGACCACACACAGCCTCTTATCATGTGCCAAGATTTAAATTATGTATACGGTTCCCAGCACGATTCTTTAATAAAGTAAAGGTAAGAAAGGAAAATCCTTAGTAGTGCCATCTGTAATTCCTCCAGTGCCAAGCTGCCTTCTTATGTTGTAATATATGAGGGAGAATCAGTNGAAAGAGGTGTGTAATTGTAGTGAAGGGTTCTTCCTGCCCTGTCTGAGCCAGACCCGTATAAGACCCGGGATAGGAACTCAGCTCNGAGGGTGTCTATGTGTATCAATAGGTAGCAGATGCAAATGCCATTGTCAAAATGGCAGCATTCTGTTGTGCGTTTTTTCGTGGGCAAAAGGACTCTATGCAAACAATATTCATAAAGAAATGTTTCCTATTTACAGTAGGAAGTGTTTTTCATGTAAAACGGTTCATAACTGGGTCAAGATATTNGATCAAGGAGGACGGCAACAGCGTGGCGCACAACGTAAAGGGCCCAAGGAGGTGAGTGGCCACATGAGACTGCAAGAGAAGCAACTCTGCAGCCAGTGGAAGAGTTGATTCAAGCTGACAGGAGAATAATGATAGACAGTGTAGCAACTGGACCTGGGTGTTCCCATGGTTTAGCATAATGCATGATCATTTGAAGTTTTGGAAAGTATGCACATGATGGGTGCCCAAAAGTTGAAGGATCAAGAAAAAATTAACCGAATTGTCTGTCCTTGCAACATCTCTTACAGTATGCTGTTGAAGGATAAGATATTGTTGGAGTGTTACTGGATGCATCACTACCAACCTAAATTGAAGCCTGCCACAGTGCAATGGAAATATCCCAGTTCACCTTCAACCAAAAAGTTTAAGGTTATGTCATCAGCTGGTAAAGTTATGTTTACCATGTTTTGGGATTCTTAGGGAGTACTGTTAGCCCATTTTCAGAAGTGTGGTGAAAATGTGAATTCTGCATCTTACTGTGAAGTTCTGTTGAAGCTCTAGGATGCAATTCACAGAAAATGTCCAGGCCAACTGGCAAGAGGGGTACTGCTCCATCATGAAAATGCCAGGCCCTATACAGCCTGAACAACACAGCCGATCATTCAAGAACTACAGTGGGAACTTCAACATCCACCTTACAGCCCAGACTTTGCCCCTAGTGAATTGCATCTGTTTGGTCTGCTAGAAAACCACCTTGGTGGCAAACATTTCACTGATGATGAAGAGGTTAAAATGGAGGTGCTGAAGTGGCTGAGACAACAGTCAAAAAGACTTGTATGTTGCAGGTTTCGAAGCACTTGTAAAGCAATGGGACAAGTGTATCAATGTTGGTGGAGGATATGTTGAGAAATAAATGTTTTTTCTGGGTTCAAATATCACATGTTCTACATTTAATATCCATCTGTGGCCTATTTACTGACTCTCTTTCTCATGCATGCATGCATGCATGCAGACAGAAACCTGAGTAATTCATACTTCACTAATTTGGACTTTTTTTTTTTGCACATTACAGCTGTGATGATCACATTGGCACAATCGGGATGATGTAGTGAAAGAACAGTAAAAATGAGGAAAACAGACTAAAAAGTTCATTTTTAAAATATAGTTTCAATAATACTAAGTATGTAAGTTACCTAGAATGTTTTTACGACCGATGTCAAAACTTGTGTGTTTATATTTTATGACAAGTGAATTTATTTTATGATATGCAATCTAAGTTTCAAAATAAAGATGTATTGCCTAAAAGGCCACGTGAAGTCCATTTTATAACTTTCCTGAACATAGTTTCAGTAGCATTCTTATAATTCAGGCTTTCAGTAACTTGGGAATGGGTTTGCTTCCAATCAGCCAAAATTAGTGAAGTCTTCCTATATACTATGCAGTTCAGACAGACATTTCTGGACCACATAGTTCAGACAAAATGCCAACAGACATCACTTGTTATCAGAGGAAGCAATATACTTAAAGGATGAAATTTTCAATGCTTGGCACTTGAAGGGTTAAATATAGATATTTTCCCCTTTGGATTATAACCTGCAAAATTGTGCACATGTCATACCTTTGTTGAAGATCCTTAGTATGGTGACTGCCTGATGACTGTCCTGTGAATGATCCTTCAGAGGCAGACTGGGATGCTATGGCTTCAAACCACTTCCACAATGATATTCAGGGGTTCCCAAAACTTATATTCATAAGGGGTTCTGATACTTCAGGATGTGATGCTTAGTTATCATCTAGTGCTGAAGTTCAGTATTACCTGGAAAATAAATTCTATGCCTCCCGATACATGCTGATGGCATGAGGCATATCCGTGTAATTTTATCATTCTCTTACCTCTTTCAGGTCTCTCATCTGAAAGATTTCGTCACAGGTAAAAGTGAGAATTTTTGTAGTGCTCTACCTATGCCAGTACTTTGCATTCCTTATCAGTCTGGACTCTGATAGAGATCCCACCCCACAGGGTTATAATGCTGTTTACTGCAGATATAAAGGAACAATACAAATCCCACGGCAAAGGTTTATAAATGTTTACTGCTCACAAATCTAACCAAACAGTACAGATTATAAAGGATTTCTTGACCATTACACTTTATTACTACATAAAAACTAAAATTCCATCAAGTGTACAAAATTTTCAGTAAACAGGTAAAATATATTTCTGCCTTACATGTTTTGATCATAAGTGGCCATCTTCAAGAATTGAACCAACAATGTTAAAGGAAATACTTTATGTAAGTCAGTCCATCAGTGCATGCTTGACATCACAAACTATAGAGCAAAACACACGACTGTACTACACAGATGAAAAATGATGCACAACCATATGAATTAACAAGTTTCATGCTGTCAACTGTAAAACTACTATAGATCCTGTTACTGCATCTTATTTCTGAAAACAGCCTAACCACTTTAATTACTCTTTAATACTAGCTTCCATCATGAGTACTAACTCCATCAACAAGCCTCCATATTAAGTAGTACTGTAATAAAGCCTTATGTTTATTCCTTGTAACCCCGTTGGTTTGTCTCTTAAAGACAGCCACTTATGGCTTAACCATGTAATGCAGAAAAATTATTTATCTTTTCACAACCCTATGTGCCTTCACTGCCTGATACAGGGATAGCTTTACTTTTTTACTTAAAATTTGTCACACAGATGGAATTTTAGTTTTTATGCAGTACAGATACCACTGAACAAGGTTACAAATGATATTCCCTATTGGGAGGAAAGGAGAAATTGCATGTACAACCAACTCCTGATAATGTGAAGTAATAGTAGATAAATCATAAAATATGTGACTGGTTACATACTATGAAGTAGATTCTAAAGGGTTCTGATGATGGAATATAACCCTCAGAATTACTGGATTTTTGGACTCTGTCCATCGATCGATATTCTAAAAACAAGAAAACACATCATTTTGGAAACTGGATCTGTTTCTGTCTTCAGGTGAGGGAGGAATCTAGCAAGTAAGGTTTGCTCTTTCTAAGGGACCCAACATAGCAACTATCTCCCCCCTCACTTGAGGACAGAAACAGATCTCGTTTCCAAAACGTTGTTCTCTAGTTTTTAGAATACAGGACAATGGACAAAGTCCAACAACCCAGTAATTCTGAGCAGATTCATAGGTCTGTATAAATGTAGTGATATCATCTGGGAGTTTTGCTGATGCACAGCATTTCTGCTATGTGCACTCACTGCATCAGTTAGTGGACACTGTCCATGGCCCCAATTTTTTCAAACATTTTACAGATGGGTTGTTTCCTTCTTTAAGTGACAGAATAAAGTATGGCATTCCACTTGTGTGTCTTACTAGAGTTAGTCTCAAACTGTGGACTTGAAGGATTTGAGACTAATTCAGCCATGATGACCAGCTGGGTCAGATTCCTTATTTTCTCTTATCATGCGAAGGAAACATAATCAGTTTCTGAAACACTGTAATTTCAATAAACTGTGATGATGGTGAACAAAATAATGATCAAAAAGATCATTATATATATCATCTCCACAAACCTTCAGACTTATTCTAAACAGAAGATGGCTCAATTCAGTTCTGCCTTATGTATATTTGTTGTGTGTGTCTGCTCAGGTGAATACATGGAAAAATTTCATGCATCCATCTTCATAGTCCACAGCAGATAATCAAAAGTTTACTGTGACAGAAGAGACTACCACAAATGCTAGATGTTATATGAACTGCCTTGCTCAGATAATGCTCTGTAGATACTGGGTTTCAAAAGATCAAACAAACCTTCAGAAACTTTCTTACTTATTTATTTTCACAAAATATCTTGTGATGGAATTCCAGCAGTGTTACATGGTAACAAGCCAATTTATGAGGGAAGCATTACACTGCTTTTAACACTTTCCTGAAACCAACAGAAATAAATAATCAGCAATGGCAGGGTAATTCTTTGTAATCTCAGTTATATTTATCCTACTATAAGATGATTCCCATTAAAAATAATGTTATATTTTTTTCTCCTTCCTTTTCCATTTCCACTTTCATGTATATCATGTAGCAATTCAGTCTCTTCATCTCTCTCTCATCCCAATGATGATCTCTTTTCTTCTAAATGATAACCTTCCTAATCTGCTCTTCCCTTCTTGACCTCTTTCCGGTTTTCTTTTAGTTTCATATCTAAAACCTTCTTTGGGATTCTGTCTTTGTTCATTATTAAAATGAGTCCATATCAGCTTCCAGTGTCCAGCTTCCAATATATTTATCTCTAAATTCTCACTAATGTTTTTGTTTATAATTTTCTTTCACTCTTTTTCCTTTTACACTTTTTAAGAATTTCACCTCTTCTGCTATCAGTCTCTTCCTTTATACATGACTACATTTCTGCTCCAGACATAAATATGAATGAGCAGTAAATTTTATTATTCATCCAGACGAAGTTCTTAACTTTAATTCTTTAGTACAAATATAAATCTTTTCACATCTCCTTACAATGACCGCTGTAGGTTCACAGAATACTTTTTAGGAGCACCTATCATCTAATAATTATTCTTTCTTTTCCTCCATCAACATATACTGATCCCAGAAATATTCATGCTCTCGATACCACGGAATTGCTAGCCTGACTGGTGATAACTGCTAATTTACAATTGATAACCATGTGGTTTGCAAGAATAAAAAGTGATCCAAGTATGAAAACTCACTCTTGCCTCCATGGTCTCCCATGAAAACACGATTTCATTGTAAATGTTTAAAAAAATAACACCAATTATGTATAAATGTTCAATTTTAGCACCAGTATTCTATATCTTACCTTAAATTAGTTCTTAATAATGAATATAACATTTTGCATACACAAGTTTAATGACATGCAGTAAATGTCTCACACCTCAAAACCTGAGCAGAAATGAGTCATGAAATAGTGAAGAAAATGGGCCCTTTTTCACATAATGCTTTTTTGTTATTATATTACTGCTGTCAATCAAAAGTTTTCCTTCTTTCTGTAATTAAAATCTTTTGGTTTGCAGAAAATGTGTTACGACTCTTCCTTATGCATATTTGTTTAGAAGTCCTTTTCAATACATGCTTTCTAGTAGCACAATTTACTGTTTTTTACTCTGCTAACTACAGGTATACCAGAATGTCAACTATAACACTTTAACAACATTTAACATTAATTACAATAACCACATTCAAATGTGATTATATTTGCATCATACCTTGAGAGATTCAATTACTTTATCCCATTCTTCATTTGCAATAACAGGAATAACATGCTTCAGCAATGCAATCAAATTCTGCACATTCGACTTGAAGGTGTGCATAACCTCATCTACACACACTTTATTTCCGGTGTCTCTCCAGCAGTCGTAATCTGTTATTAACCCAATTGCTGCATAGCAGAGTCCAGCCTCCTTTGCCAACACAACCTGAACTCAAGAAATGAAATTACTCATTATTACTTTCTCATACATACACTATACATGAGAAAGTACATTAACATTTTACTTACTTACTTAATCTGTTCCTCTTATACCTTTATGGTGTCAAGTTTCTTTTTTTTTCATTTTGTTCATTTTACAGATGGTAACACTCCTTCGGCGAGTGATCAGCTCGTCGCAAGGCCTCTACCTAAACGCAGAACAACACAAACACATCCATGCTTTGTGTGGGATTCGAACCCACGATCCCAGCTTCCAAGCAAGAGAAGACAGTACATGCTTCAGGCTGCTGGGCTACTGTGCCAACAAATATGAACTTACTAACTCCAAATATTTGGCCACAAAAACAGAAGAGCTATTTTCTGGTAACTAACTCCAATCATTTTGTTTAAATTAAAGTAATTCATGGAGATCACTGTCCTCAATAAGACTAAATAGGTGGCACCTCCAGGATAGTAACAGTATGGGGGGCCCAAATGTCAAATGTCAGTTTTCTCAAAAATGGCTTCACTGATGAGGATCAATTTTTATCCCCCTATACAGGCAGTAGGCCTAAATAATGAGGCAGCAAGTCTTACACTGTACTTCAAAATTATTGACAACTTTTTTCTGAAATATTAATATTACATTATAACATAAATTTATGTGGTGTCATTTGACAAAAATTATGGTTGTATGATAATGATTTCCATCACAGTGAAAACTAGAATATCGATTGTTAGTTTAACAAAAACTGGACTAAACCGAGGTGTAAGTTCCAGGAGGTTAGAAACTTCTTATGTTAAATGTGGTTGTTTACTAAATCAAAATTTTCTAAATATGGGAAAATAATATATTTTTAAACTGGGCTCCAGCTATTCACTGAATATTTAATATGTATTTCGACGGAATTCAAGGCAATACTTCCAGCACTCTAAAGACAACAGTTTCACTATATTACCTCTGGTATATTGGTCATGTTGATGACATCTCCTCCAAGGAAACGGTACATTTTACTCTCTGCAAGTGAGGAATACCGCGGTCCTTCTATAACTACACATGTCACTCCAGGGTGAATCTTCAGCTTCAGAGCTTGTGCTGATTCTGACACTAGTTTTGGCATGAATGGACAGTAGGCTGGCTCCATTGGAATGTGACACACACCAGGTGGTGAATTTGGAGCACCATCATAAAATGTTTGAACACGAGATGTTGTCCTGAAAAATAATTGCAAACCCATATTAAAATGAGAAACCGAATAAGCCATAAGTGTATGACGTACGTGAATTTCCATTAAATTACATAAATTAGCCATTACTTCTGCAGTAGATGAAGCAATGATTGATCTGGAGGACTATGACATAGTGGGGATTATAAAAGTGCCTACAAAGTTCATGAAATAATTTTACCTTCTTGCATATAGAGTAAACAAAGTTTTGTAAGTGTTACTGACTAACTGAAACTGACATAGTGTAGTTTGCTAGATGGATACCTATGTTTCGGAGTAATGTGCTGCCATCAACCTACCTTGAAGACAGAGGCAACAGTTTTTTCTTCTGAAATGTTGGTACCCATTTACCAGACTGCCCAGTATCATATCTCAGAAGACAATACTCTTCATATTCACAAGAACCTCAAATTTCACAGAGTTCTGACATCTTGAAAATGTCAGTGTTATGTCTCAAAAGGAGGTATATACAATTCTTTCAGTAAAAATGTTGATCTCTGCAGCAACTTACCACCTGAATGACTCCTTATATTTTCTGTGGATACTTACCACCTACTTATAAACATTATCATCATAGTGCAGATTGGTGGTCCATGAATATCAGGGAAAAATAATTTTAAAATTAAATTCTCAACATTGTGCCTTGAATGTGTGGGTTCCACATAAAGCATGCTGCCTTGACTACTTTAACTACTAGCTTCAGAAGAATGGCTCTACAGTAAGTACAATTTCAATTAATTTTTGCTTTCTTTCTTTCCCAAATAATATGCTAGGAGCGACATGACTGGAATGCAAGTGATGCCATCAGGAATTACTGATTACACATACTATCCTATATGCAACTGAACATACCTGTCTATAAATGAACCCAACAAGACAAAGTCCCCTGGTTTTATTTCCTCACGAAGGGAACCGCATGCTGTTGATGCAAGTACGTGAGTGCATCCCACTTCCTTCAGGGCCCAGATGTTGGCTCGGTAATTAACACTGCTTGGCTTGATGGTGTGCTTGCGTCCATGCCTGGGAAATACAAGATATATCTATATATGGTATACACTAGAAGAAACTTGGAAACAGACTATCAAAGAGAAAGAAAGGAGGTTATAAGACCAGATATGAAGTTTCTATAGTGGCAATACTGAAGGATGAAGAAATTAGAGAATATAAAATAAAATCCAGAATCTGGATGCAAAGCAAGAATTATAAGAAGATTAGTCAAGGATGTGTTGAACATGGAAGATAATATGGTCCTTTTTTGGAACTTAAAAGGATGATCACAAATAAACAATTAACTGGAAGACAAGAGAAAGGGACACAGGTATAAAGCAAGTACTTATGGCCTAGAGCAGAATGGAGAAGGTTTTGTCATGGCATCCAGAGTCATTTTGATGGAAACACTAACAGAAATAAGTTGCAGTGGTTGGTTCAAACTGTGTAGAAACAATGTTATATTTTAGCGTCCTGTTACACCGATTCATGTCCATAGTTTATGCTGACCGTCTTACAGTGTATACAGTTTTTCACCTTATTCTTCACTTCCACACTACATGTTTCAGCACTAATGTGCCATCTTCAGGTGTCTTTATGCATGTTAGACTATTGTACTGCATGCCATAATGTCTTCATTTTATAATGATTAAAATCTGTATTCGTCATTTTAGAATGAAGACGTTATGGCATGCAGTACAATAGTCTAACGTGCATAAAGACACCTGAAGATGGCACATTAGTGCTGAAACATGTAGTATGGAAGTGAAGAATAAGGTGAAAAAGTGTATACACTGCAAGACGGTCAGCATAAACCATGGACCTGTGTAGAAACCCCTTCAGATGGCATGTCTGATCATTTCCAAATGACATCTATGACTAGACCCCATGTAGTGACTCATCTGGCACTGTACAAACTGTTATTACGCAGTCACATCTCCTATACACAGTTTGTTTGTCTCACGAGAAGGACTTAAAACCAAGTCTTGGAGAAATACTGACATAACCCCTGTAAATGAAGACAAGACTGCCATGGTCACTTTCTGACTTATTATATGATACACATCTGCTGGTTAAAGCATTTACACTGTACCAGATTGTTTTCTGGTCACAACATGCTGCATGAATAGAGTTACTTTGTACCTCGCCAAAAGAACACAATCGACTCCATCAATTTTCCCCTCAATTAGCACATCAGATGGATTCCCAAATGGTGTTGTAACAGATGTTTCTTTCCGGTTCTCCAAAATGTCAGGATCGTCCAGTCCAGTGCCACCTATAATTCCGATCTATTAACAGAACAGTTTTCATACTTTAGATATTTGGCAGCTACACCATTTCTTTGCATCATGACTACTTCAGAGAAAGAAAATGTTTAAAAATCTTGAACTGCATATAAAATATCAATACTCTTCTCAGCTACTAATGCTGTATAAGGCGTGAGCATACGTATTTTAACCTGTTAATATGTACTGCATGTTAAGTATTCTGACATGCGAAAGAGATCTTAAATTATGGTATGTAGGCTTCAATGAGATCACCAGTGGATGAGGCCTCACTGTAGAAAAATGGATGAATCAACAGCAAACCCTTTTACAGTTCACTGGAGTCTGTAGAGACTTAGCCACAACACCACTGATGTGATCTTGTGTAGTATCTTGAAGATGAGGTTAGTTATAAAGAGTGATTAATGTGAATGTAGTAGCAAGAGACTGAGGTAACAGATATACTTTTCAGATTAACCAACGTTAATATGTAATATAACTTTATTTTTCCGTCACAACACAACTAACGAGTATCGAGGTCAATAACCAGATATGCCTCACTACATGTTTCGGCCGTTAACGGCCATCGTCAGGTGAATACAAATCAACAAACATATACTATTGAACTGTGGTAAAATTAGATACGACAAAAATTGTTAATTCTTTTGTGTAAAAATACAACGGTCATTTATATATAAAACTGAAGGTTATAATATAAAAAAAGATTAAAATTGATGTTTTATAACATCTGATCAGTCGTATGTTTACTTTATACGTTCCGTGGACAAAATAAAAATATAAGATGGTATTGGAGGCCCATGACGTTTCAAGTTAATTAATAGAGTAGAGGTGCCTCATCATACGAAGAAAATATCCGTACTGTATGAGGGGTAAACAACGATCTGTATTCACCTGATGATGGCCGTTAACGGCCTAAACATGTAGTGAGGCATAGCTGGGTATTGACCTCGATACTCCTTAGTTGTTGTGTTGTGACGGAAAAATAAAGTTATATATTGTAACACAACAGGATGCATGAAATTAAGTTCAATATGTAATTTATTAACTTCCCAAATATTATATTATATCTCATTGTATCATTTATTCCCAAATATTGATGTCTACCGAATCTAGCGTACGAAACAACCATATAAATCTTGAGGCTTCGACCTAATTTAGATATTAAATTTGTTATTAAAAGCGTAACGTACCCCGAACACAGTAAGCGAATCATCTTACCTTAACCTTGCATTTAGCCATATTTAAGAACTGTATTATATACAATACGCAAGTGGTGAAATAATACCACCAAAACCTTTGTACTTAAACCTGACCTCTTTCTAAGAACGATCACGTAGCGTTACACGCGTTACAAGCTTCACAATTCACTCTTCCCCCACCCCATCGCTCTACTAGCTGTCACTCGCTCTCACTTACACTTTTTCAAAATGGCTACCGCCACAGAGTACTAACCGTACTACCCGATACAACCACGGATTACTATTTACCGGGTATAACCGTGTCAATTTAATCCACTCCCTCCATACGCCTTCGCCAAGTAATGCTAAATTAGTTAAGCACGGGGTTAACTATACTTTTTATGTCATTTATGCCAGTGACCGAACACTGGGTTCGTGGGTTCAAAATCCCACTCGAGGAATGGATGTCTGTGTGCGTTGATTCTGTTTGTGTTGTTCCGTGTATAGGTAGCCGCTTTGCGATGGGCTGATCCCCCGTCCAAGGAGTCCTACCAATTGTGTATAGATTTAAGACAATGGTAATTAACCTGGGGTAACCGAAGACATCTTACGGGGTACATAAAATCAAAATTCGTCCCAGAATTGAGGTGCTGGAGTGCCAGAAACAAGCTCATTCATCTCATTAACAGGTCAGAACCACATTTTTAATTGATGAAATATTTAAACAAACAATTTTGCTTTTCTAAAATACCTCTGTTCCTTTATTATTTTTATATGGTAGGCAATAATGTTTTTTGTTTTTTTTTTCATTTCATGCATCCTGTTGTGTTATAACATACAATTTCTTTATTAAGATCTTCACAACACAACTATATCAAGCCCGGTTTTGGCTCTGCGACATGTTTCGGCTATTAATAGACATCATCAGGCAAATACATGGCTAACATACACAACATTCGTTGTTTACATTCCCTACAGAATGGACAATACTTTGTAAAATGGGACACCGACTAAATAATTAACATTAATTTTACTACATCTACACCACGAGCCTCCAGTAACAGTTTTTATACACAAAATATAGAATATTCTAATTTGTCCATGGGAACAAAACAAAATCACAAAACCAACGACTGACTCGATGATGTAAAGCGTCATTCAAAGAATTTTATTCTTGTTTTATACTATAACTTCTGTTTCATATAATTTAATTTATTGTATTTTTACATATTTTAATATATTAATATTATTGTATCCAATTTTATTAATACTGCAGTTCAGTGGTGTATATATATTAGCCATGTATTTACCTAATGATGGGTATTAATAGACAAAACATGTAGCAGAGCCAAAACCAGTCACTGACCTTGATATAGATGTGTTGTGACAGTCTTAATAAAGAAGTTGAATAATGTATTTGTTATTAATAGCTTGATCCTCCTTTTTATAATTTGCAACTTCTTATCTAATACATTATTTTGGATGTAATTTATTTAATTTATTTTAGATGTAGATTATAGACTGTGTATAACTTGAATTATACACCAACAACTTTGGGGGTACAAAGTTGAAGAGAAATTATATCTGGGGGTATGTGAACAAAAATGTTGAATACCACTGGATAAAGAAACTGAAAAACAGCCAAGATTCACAAGGGCTGTAAAGCCATAGATAGATAGATGCTAGTGATTGCTGGCATACATTGTCTACATTTGAATTGTTTTTTAACTTTTCTGTGTTGCCCACAATGAACAGCAGTAATGAGAGTAAGAATTTGTTGCTAAGGGGAAGTATATTAATTTTCTTAAATAATTCTCTATTGTTGAGACTAATTATTGATTGTAGTTAACATAATGATTTCCTGTTGGATGTTAAACAATTTTTAATATCTGTTGAATCTTCCCAGATTCCTTCATGTGACACAATTGAATCGATATAAGCAAACTAATGTTATGAGGTCCAATCAAAACTTTTAATCTAAATTTTTTTTTTGGTATGAAATTGTTGAAAATGCTGGAACTTGACATATGGATACTTACATGCATTATTTAAAGTGCTATCGTCATATGTAGTCTCTGTCCTTTTCTATAGCTTTATGCCAGGAGGAAAAGGCCTATATTCATTATGGGTTTTCCTCTGCAAGATATTTTCAGTTTGTAGGCCAGGAAAGTTGTATGTTGATGCTACATCATTTATTCTATTATCATAACGTTCATTTACCTTCATGTGTGTTCTTGTTTAGAATATTTTGTGAAGTAAAGCTGTAAATATTATTTAATATCCATAACTTGACAGCTATCTTTCATGTCATATATCATGTACACATTGAAATAAGGTGAAAACTGTGTAATCTTGGCTGATATATTCAATTTAAATACATTTTTTTTAGACTACTTACATTCATACAATTTAATAAATTGAACACATTTGTTTTCTGATATGCTGGTGGTTGGTGATATGTAATTACCTTGTTGTGAACATGTCTGACCATTAACTCCAATTTGTAAGGTTTAGTCAGTGAGCCACTTAGGTGATCAGAAGCAGAGGACATGGTAGGGATCCATCACTAGGCAATGACTGATGAAGACACAGTAGGCTGAGAAGTCGTAATGTGTTCTATAGTGATTTTTGAAGTGTAGTAACAAGTTGTATAAGTGTGCAAAAATCCAATTACCAATCAATACCCCATCTATAGCCACACATACACATGACAATACCTTTAAGCTTATGGCATTACTTTTGCAACAAAGCAAGTTTCTTACATTTGGCTCCTTTACAAAATGAAAAATGTTTTGCTGTCAGCTCTGCAAAGAATGTGATGGCACTACTGAACAGCCCACAAACAAGTATCAGGAAAGGCATTTGCAGGTCTTCCAGAGAGAACACTTTGAGCAAATAATTGCCACTGTATTCACTTCTGTGAAATGCTGTCATATTGAAGTATGTGTCTTCTTTCCACTTATTTACAATACCTGTTTCTTCAAGTTGTGCTACTACATGGTTGATTCGTAACAAAAATGGGGATCCTTTATGAACTATGTACGCTAGAGAATAAATCTTTGGGCATTCTTTAACAATGTGTAATAGAAATGTTCCATCTGAATTGCGATAATGAAGTACACTATACATAGCAGTACTTAATCTGTTCAATGCAGCAATATTCTGGTGCTTAGCAACATAATTGATGTTGCCTTCCTGTAAGTTACAGTAAGTTACTTTGCTTCTGAGGTGTCTTGCAGGAGGAGACTCCTCTGTACTGAATGTGTCCTGAACTAAATTGATAGATCCTGTGGCAATGATCAAATTAGATGCATCCAATTCTTCAAGTGTATTGATGTCAGGATAGTAATCAGGTTTTGATAACACAGTAACGAGCTTTGCTTGAAATGATGAAGCTATAATCATCCCAAATACGAGACACAATATAACAAGTACTTTCTCTGACCGAGATGAAGGCATTCGAGCCAAGGAAAGTGATAGGAAAGGGGTTAACATCTCTATAAATATGGCAGACAAGCTGGCAGTTTTGTAGTCAGATTTGAAATGAGAATACAATATCTGTAGGATATAAATTATTATAGAACATACTACATAAACACAGACAAGGGAAAATTGGACATGTAAATCAAATACCCTGAACAGTGCAAGCCATTTTGGGAGCTGTTTAGCCTTTGGCACTATGATACAGAGACTGTCGAAGCCAACAGGTATGGTAAATTCAATATCGTTAGTTCCATACTCTTTCACAAAACGAGAATTGAGTGAAAGATCAGCTCTGTCATCAAGAATATCACCTAGAGTACCAGTAGAAGTGCCATTGTTCTCAAAAATAAAACCATATTCTCTACCATCTTTCGGACTATCAGCAATGGGTGTGAAATTCATTTTTCTTGCCAAGTTTCTCATGAAGAACCCATCCATTCCAATGTAATCAATGACTTTATCACCCGAATGTGAAGGAAATGAAGTTGGCTCTCTTGAAAATAGTGTAATACGGACTGGATATCCTCTTAGATTATTCAGCCTATCTGTATGGCTTCTGACCAAATTAATTATATAATTTTCATTATGTACAATAAGCTTTCCTCTTGACTTTGTTGAACCAATAAAAGGGTTAAATGCTGCTATCAGTGCAATATGCCCTGACTTCAGTTTAGGATAATCTGAAGTGTTTATGACCAGCATTATAATATTTAAAATTCCAAACTCTTTCCATATGTTCTGAAACAAGAGGCAGTACTTATTTTCAATTTCCCTTCTTTTTACATCATTCTGATGATTTCCGGTCATTCCCAAGATGATGATCAGAAAATGACCTCTTGGATTTCTGAGAAGTGAATAACTATGATTCTGTTGTATGAATCTGAGAAACTGTACCATTGCATCTCCCCTCTCCACTACGAGTAGAAATGCTTGGTGCAATATGTCTAAATTTTTCCATAGACGCCCATGAGGAATGCTCGTCTCTTTTGGTACATCAATATTCGAAACTACTACCTTTTCATATATTTTATTGTGGATGAATGGTAACAGTTCTTCGATAAAGTCACTTGCCAACTGTGAATCTATTGGGGCAATAACAATGAATCTAGCTTCAATGAAATACCACGATGAAATATCCAGAAGAATTTTCATGTCCGATTCTTGAACAAATAAAGGCTTAGGATTTCCTAAAACATGCTGCAAAGAATTGTGTTGCGCAACTGATGTAAAACTTTGTGGCAGAAATATCACAAAAGAAATCAGTAAGGTCGGAGATAATATTCTCCATGATAAAATCATCATAGGTATCACTTCCTCTTTTTCGTTGCAGATCTTAATCTTTTTTTTATTTTTTGAAGATTATAATAATGTTTAAATGCAAACTGAATTTTAGTACCACTCGTATTTCTCCAAGTCACAGGTATGAAGAACTTATTTAACCTGGAAGAAAAAACAAGCTTGAAAATTTGATAAAAAAATATGTGCGTGTAAATCTTGCCTTGAAAAATACAAAGGTTGATTGTGTCTGGGACAATGCAATCCTGTCACTATAACTTGTCTAACAGCAGACTCGTTTAAATTGTATATATTTCCTGATACTCTCGGGTTTAGAGCCTGAAATTAGAATTTTAAAATTCTTCACCATATTCTTTATTCCTCACAGAATTACTCTAGATTGCCAAATACAGTAGTTACAGTTATATTAGAATTCTTGATAATACTTGCTGGAAATAATTGAAGTTTATTTAGTTTACAATTTACATTTTCTCTCTAGACCAATTCTGAGGCTCACTCGACCTCCTGCCAAATAGGCAACAATAGCTCTTTCTCTTGGAACAAAAGGAGTGTAACGTGAAGCTAGCAAATCTCCTCCATCACATGCTGAATTTTAGAGTTTTTGGAACTTCATCTGACGCAATCTGTTTAGGTTCGGGAAAAAAATCTACAACTAACATTATTTATAAGTATGAGTATGGAGATATTGCAATTTCTGGTTATTTTTCATGCTTACCGTTCTGTCATATTAAGATTTTCATACGATATTTGGTTCAGATGTACGGCTTTAGTAGATTATTTCATTGTTTTTTCTAACACTTTGCATGTTCCCTTCACCGCATTTATGTTGCAGGCTGAGAACCGAAATTTTCTGTAAATTAGCAACTGATTAAATTTTTTCCAGATTCTCGTAACTGTGTTTATATCAACGATACTAGTCTTATAAGACTAGTTAGGCAATCTGTGCGTGCCACTGTAAACTCAGAAAACCGTGTCATATATGTGTGTGTGTGTGTGTAACGTTTCAGAGTTGTAACGTGTACTATTTTGAATCCAATATGCTATGCGACATCAATCAACTTGGGCTAGGCGACAGATGTGACGGAGTGTCAGACCACGGAAACAATTCACTTCATGGGCGGAAACAGCTGTAGATATAAATGATACATTAATTTTCTTAGAAATGCGGAGAAAAATGCTACATTAATTTTATATGAACTACATGAATGATTTCCATATTTGTACAATATGAAAAAAATGCTGTACGAATATTATGTTAAAATTTGTTCATTGTCTGGGATATACTGTATATGATATAGGGCATAATTGGTTGAAGCACTATGCCACATGCCTAAAGGTAGCGGTTCGGTTCCCGATGAGATTATTGGATTTCTCAGTTGGCCTAATACTTCCAGCCGCACTATGGCCATGGGGTCGGCTCAACCACTAACATAAATGAGTACCAAGAATCTTCCTGCGGATAAAAGGCGGCCGGCGCGTAAGGCTGACAACCTCACCGATATCTGTGAGTCAATTATCTAGAAAATTTGGGATCCTCGACTTCTCACAACCCTATGGGCCTCCACGGCCTGTTACAGGGATAACTTTGCCTTTACTGCAATATGTACGGCGATCCGTAGACTGGCTCCGTTTCCATTAACGAGCGAAGAGAGGAGGATAGGATCCTACTCAGTTAGGCCCGTGCGCAGGGTGTAGTCTCGTTCATTGTGATGGAATATTCCAGACAATAGACAAAGCCCAACATAGTAATGTAGTGTTGCAATATATGATGGCACAACCATTATCACAAAACTTCAAAAATAAAAAAAAATATATAAAAACAAAATGTCGTTTTGTCTGTCACGTTGATTTGTTATACCTACATTAAATCTCATAAACATTCTCTCATAAAACAGTGGTCGAAAAAAAGGTACAGCACTTTCGCCAGTTTATTTCTATATATGTGTTATATAGCAGCTGTTATAAGAAAAATATTTTATGTTCTTTTCTCGTGACAAAGTCAAACATTCTATGTATGTTCAAAATGTGAGATTGCTCATTGTTATAGCGTGTGATACAGCTGAAGAAAGTTGAACGTATATCCAACGCCTTGTTTGGCAGCAACTTCTCCAGCACATCTGTGATGATTGTAGTCTAAACAAACTTATGCAGGCGTTCACGTTCTAATTCATTTTCAAACAAAGGGTCATGACTGTACTCGTCGCAGGTAAGTTTTATGCTTGCGTGTCCCGGAGATAACTTCTGAACAAGTTTGATGATATTAACTAAAACAGAGTTGAATATCATTATCTTTGAGGTATCTATCGTTCTTTTCTTTAAACTATGCGGAATTCTGAAATCAGAACAGCGTTAGCACCACTCGTTGGGTCCACAAATGTGGAATATATCTGAAAAAATAAACCACTTTTGATAAAGTAGTTATCTGTGTACAATGTAGAATATAAGACGACAAAATGATGACCGAAAGAACTGTGTGCTGTATTTATATTTCTTAGTTAAGATAATGATAACCGCTGGGCTCGTCCTTTCGTTTCTGGAATTCTTTTAATGTCACCATGGCTTACAGATTACATACACCACACACCTAGATACATAAGCAGAAAGTAATAATTTATTCTGAGAGCCAGAATAATTCCTAACTGCATTCTGTGATGAAATGCTAAGTTGTTGAATGTTAAAATTGCTTCAAGAATGCTGCCTTCCAGGATATGATACCTTGTATTCTGATAGATTGTGTCAAACGTTTCGGAGGAATCTACCCCATCCATCTTCAGTGTACACTGTTCAACTATACAGCGTCACATCCCAGAATACGTCATATCCACAGCCTTTAGAATCTCAAATTTCACGAAGCTTCTTGTCTTAAACAATTAACGATTTCAATATAAAAATGAAACCAAAAACGTAGAATGGTAATGCTACTTTGAGACAGAAGCAGTCCTCCCTTTATATAAACGGAGTAATTCCTCGGGGTAAAAGACATATTACCTTAAAAATTTGATGATCTATGCTGAAGATAAAAAGTATGCAACTTCTGCCAGGTTTTCAACTATATGTTTCTTTACTGGATGTTAGTTTGAATCTTGTCAATGTACTTTTATGAGGACACGCCTAACGGTTCTTGTATTTATATGTGCACTGCCTCCCGCCACCTGCTTCTAGGTGGACGTGTGTAGCCTTATATGAATATCTCTTTCATGTATCTTATCTTGCGTCACAATCTACCACTATATGCAGAGCAACTTGCAGCCTATTGGCCACGCCGAGACGACTAACGTCCAGTTTAATTAAAATAAATTCCTGCGTGTCATAAAGACGAACTAACATAAAAGAGGCCTCTCGTAAGAACATGTTGGACAAGAAGTTTGGGGGATTCACAATTATTTCATACTTGTCGGTAAGACTTAAGTAAAGGATTTAGGCGCTACGTAATATCCTAACAACGATACAGGAGTGTAATTTGGTGCAGACATGGGTAGACGCCTTCTACGTAGCTCCGAACCGCCTTTCATCGAAGTTATGTCCAGTCTCTTGAGACTTTATATTTATCGTTCCCGAAGATATATGAGCGAACAAATTGTCGGACCTTTGTTGTAATAACTTTCTTCATAAAGCGTCTTGGTCGCTACCCTGGTAATTTATGCTTTAGTGGAAGGTTCAACAGCTGTACTTATGAAAAGTAATGCCGATGATAGCAAGTAAAAAGGCAAAATTAGCCATATGCTTAACTAATTAAGCACTACTCCATTAAGACTTATGGGTGAATGGATGTATAAATCCATGTATTCTTGACTTCGGTACTAGTTTGAGGTGAGTGATCAGCTTCACGCGACGGTCGCTTTACCCCCAAATAAAGATCCCTCAGTACCTATTAGACAGAACGCTGGGTGGGCCTCAGAGCCGGTCTGGACGACGTGGAGAAGACAAAATTCTTGACCCTGCCTGGACTCTAACTCCAACCCCTGAGCCATCCAGCCCGTACCCCGTCGCCACACCGACGGGCTACGCTATCGCGGCTCCGACTAATACGTCCAAATATTCTCCTCGGTGTAGCTGGGTCAATGCACAGTCCTGACACGTGCGTGATATATGCAGTTCACCGTCATATGTTCCTGTAGAGTGATCGGTGTATAAGCCTCTCGTTTTGCCTCTGCAGAGTATTACACGTACTTCTCCTGTCCCATAACAAGATTCACCAGTTTCAGTCTTCCGATATCTGCTTTCCTTCGTCTCGGCTGCTCTCATCGCTTCCGCCGCTTCGAAGCGGTCTCAGCGAGGGTAGCGTTAACAATTCGTAATCATTATGCAGCTTTCGGTATCTTTCGTTTAATTATTTCAACTCCCATAAAGCTTGAAGAGAGAGTTTACTGGCCCTAAGAGTTCTCATTGCCGGTCATGGTAGCCTAGCGGTCTAATGCATGCACTGTCTTCGCTCGCTCGGAAGCCGGGATCGTGGGTTCGAATCCCACTCAGGGCATGGATGTTTGTGTGCGTTTTTCTGTGTCTGTCTACAGGTAGAGGCCTTGCGACGAGCTGATCACTCGCCCAAGGAATCCTACCTTATGTGTAAGATCTAGTAAACCGAAGTGAAACGGAGAGTTTCATGGAGGTAGGCCTAGGCCCAAATTGGGGCTGTAGCGCCACAGAAAGGAAGGAAGGAAGGAAGGAAGGAAGGAAGAGTTCTCATTTGTCCATACGACTTTAGTTCGAAATGTTAGCGAGTAATACCCAAGATGCACACAGACTCGCGCATCTGGACGCAGTTACGCAAGAGGGACCGACCAACAAATATTGGATTTTTTTTTTTGTTTTGTGTTCCGAAAGCAAATAACCCGCTGCTATGATTCTGAAGGGAGACTGTTACGTGATGCGTATTCCAGTTCCTAACTGCAAGATACTTGTGTGCGATTTTATACTTTATTTTTTCTAAATACTGCTGCAGTTAAAAAATGCTGTCCTGGTGTTCGTTTATTTTTGCATAGCACAGTTCATTTGTAGTTTGTGTTTGTTGTTTATTTAACGACGCTGTCAACATTTCAGACTCTACAGAGCGTCGAGTGTTGCGATGATTAACGGAATATAAATTCAAAAGAATGTGGAAGGAAGCGGTCGTGGCCTATTTCAAGGTAATATCTTGACATTTGCTAGGGGTCGCTGAGGACAATCATAACCTCAGTATAGTCGGTGTCCCGGCAGAGATTCGAACCCAGTACGTCCCGAATGCAAGACAGACGCACTATCGCCTGAGATAACTTGCTCTGTTGGACCTCTTGTAGGTGGTCTTGTGAACTTTCTGTTATTAATATCCGATTTTAACATAAAATCTGTCCGTGTCCACAGGGTGGAACTCAGAAATACATACATAAAATTTCACAGAAATAGACTTAGCTGCTATACGGACGGCAAACAAGGCGAGGCTGATAGGCGCATTTTTGTAGCTTTTTACTGTGAACACACCAAAAAGAAAAAAATGAAGAGACATTGACGTAAGAGAGGAGGGAAAGAAACTAGTTTCCGCGAAACATTTCCGCAATCAGAGCCTGGAAAAGTCCCCTCTCTTTTCGGAAACCAGGCTATACGGCTTATGGTAATGCTTTGTCATGAAAGTTATCAGAAGCGAAACTTCTGAAAGCAAATGTAATTTTTACATGGGCAGTAGATTGTATGAATGAAGGCAACTTTCTTTCAGTGACAAACATTAAACACCTGTGTTTACGCAGTTGTCATCCTCTTGTGGACTGTCAGGTCTAAAAGGCAACTGTGGACAGGAAGGAAACGTTGGTACAACACGATATTTCTATAGGCGTCACCTCACGATGCATGGAACCTTGTCTGTAGCACAGAGAAAAAGTCAGTTTACAGTCCTTAAGGTTGGGTCACTGTGACAACTTTCATGAAAGTAGGGAACTATGCGTCATAAAGTCTGTATTGTTCGATCATTTTCTGTTTGCTTGCGCAAGAGGAGAGTAAAGATAAGCATGGTGGGATAGGGAAAGAGGCACAGAATAAATAAAGGTTGGGCAGAAGAGACAGATAAACTCCAGATATTATAAACGCTATCACTATTTTATATTTATTCCACATTTAAGTGCTGAATACCTGTACCATTACGTCTTGCCTGAGCGAGTCTTGTTTGCATAGTTTAGTTGGAGCGTGCGCAGTTTTCGTATAGTGGGATTTGTTTATGCGCATAAATATTAACGCCGTATGCAAGAGAAGTTCAGCAGTACGCCCGGACACACACAATTGCCATAAGCACCGAGGCAATCCATGGAAACTATAATTTTAAACACCCAAAAGTTTCAAAGAATTAAAAAAGTAGTTTTTTACTCGTATTGCCAAAATTGTAATTGCTACGTCATATATCCAGTCCTTAATTTTCAATTTTTATTGGCCCACTTTCTAGAATGAAAAAGAGGCTTAAGGGGCTTACAATTTCTCCCTTGTACACCACTTGGGAGTGGTGAACTTGTTTTAGGACATTTTTTCATCTGTTTTAGATTTTTAGGTACCGGTTCGGCCCAAACAGTGCGAACCGGCTATTGCATACGTCTGATATATGGCATTGAAACCGTAACCAATCAACCTTACAGACACACAAACTATACGTTTCAATTTTGTGCACGAATTACGACCCAGCGTAGAAATTACAGATGCCAACATTAAATTCATGAAGAAAGGTCTAAGATTACTTGTGGGCTACAAAATCGACCTAGTCAGTTTACAGCTATTACGAGTAAATAATGACACGATATTAAACAAACTCTAAGATTTCAGGAACAAATTAAATCACCTGAAGACAGAATTGACACATCCACTAACAAACTCCCAAATTAATGATGATATACCGATTTATTGGAACAAGGGAGCAAGTATAGTTTTGAAAATATTATTGGAAACTGAAGTGGACTTTGATTATGGTTTTGGTGACCACTGACATAGCCTTGTAATGTTGAGTTTGACTTGGAAATCTACCATCCAACATTGACTTGTGTGAAAATCGTTCACTTTCTACAATCTACACATTCGTACAGATCAAGTACATACTAAAATTAAACATTTCTGAATGCATACATGATTGTGAGTTTTGTTTCCTGCTGATATATACTGAAGATAAGAGTAAATTTGTCCCTATGCTTAATTAAGTACCAAGCCATGAAGATGAATGCATTGGTTGGAGATGAGTGGTCAGATGTTATGTCCAGCCATTTTACCTATGAAGAAACAAGCCCGGTACCCAATGGATAGGATGCTTTATACGCCAAAGAGGTGGTCTGGAGGAAAACTGTGTTTGCCTGGATCTGACACCTGAGACAATTTGTAGCTAAGATATATGCAGGATTTAAATGGCGCATTTAAAAATATGAAAATGGCCACTCATAATATAATTCGGTCTTTCGTTTAGTGTAGCGTATATATGGAACTTATGAAATATTTTATTTGCTTCTAATCTTCGCTTTGCTGATGTTGAAATATTTATTGTTTTCATATTACATAAAAGTGATATTCCATCAAACTGATATAACTTTAAAACAAGAGATTACAATGCACTAAAATTAATTTTCAAAATTCTTAATTTCCTGTGACATTGTACTAAAATAAATTGGCAGATCAAACATACCATTTCTAATCACTAATTACTACATAACAAATTTCAGAGTACTTTAACATGCAATACTGAAGTAACATAATAATTAATGAATGAATAAAACTGAATTAAACGATTGAACTCAAAACGTTCAATCTGATTTCAAGTGAAAGCATTATGTTGGAGAGTACTGTTCTGTTCCGATTTATAATTATCAGCCAGACTTAATTTAACCAATAAGCTATAGAAATAAGTTGATTGCTTATCTGAAGTTAAATACTGGAATACTACTATAACACCAAGTTATAAAAATCAAATTATATTAATTAAAGAAGATAATTAATGAACAATGTTTATTGTAATTAAATAATTATATTATAATAATTAATTATAATATATCTGGTATTCTATTTGTATGATAATATTTCGCTTATATATGATGTGGTAATCTACATATTCATCTTTAACAGGTCAGATTCAAGTACGGAAATCTTTAATACAGTGCTTTTCACTCAGAATCACATGAAGAGTTTATCTCTTTAGAGAACTGTGTGGTTTCTATTTTTAGAAAACCACAAAGTAATTTTATATAAAGTAATCCAGTTATTTATAAACCAAAATTCAACATGCAATAATACAGCAACAACTCGTTATTAATGCTTGCATCAGCTTGATCAAATATTAAGCCATAACATTGCTGTTACAGTACCTTCTAGGCGTTATGATATTTCGGTAATTTATAATAACTTTGAATTTATTACACATAGCTTTGCTAGATGTATAACCATTTCATCAGCTATTAGAAATAATTATGAATATAGCAGATTAATCTGGCATATCTATTTTCATTTTGTGAGCTTTATAGTGTGGTACAGGATGACAAAATTCATTTCCGTTGACATCGCTGGTATTCAAATTTGTAATATTCAGATACTCGCATTTCATTGAGTGGTCTCATCATACCATGTCTGACCCAGGGATCAACAAATTCATCTGAAGATGACTCAGAATCTACAAAATATGTAGCAGAAAACCTAAAGGACAAATATTCAAATCAAATTACATTTGCAGACTTGGAGCTTGGCCATTGTTCGGAGAGGAAGGAATGGAATGACATGCATACTTTGCATTCTTGGATTCCGTGTAAGTTTCAAGGTTAGAGTTGAGAGGTGTACAGTTTAATGCAGTGCGTTATGGAAAATCGGTAGGAGCTTGTTTATGACGATTGCTTCATCATCATCATCATTTGGAAGTCTCCTCGATGGTATCAAATTCACACGGAGAAAATTACAATACCTAAATGATGAATACAAATATCAAATTAAAACGTGTTATTTCAAGAATTGCAAACAAAATTTTCTATTGCCAGCTGAAGAGAAGGAAAATTGAAGATTTTCAAAAAGTGGAGTGACATTATGTAAAAGTAACGAAAGGACGGAAAAATCAAATTACAAAGTTAAAGGAAGGAAAACTGGACAAGTGGTGTTCAATAATTCACTCTGGAGATAATTTACTATTTAAAAGGGAAAAATAATTGAGAATCCCCTCATAAGATGACATTAGAGCCATCTGAAAGTATAATATAAACTTGTAGCATGAGCGAAATATCCATTAAAAATATTTCAAACCAAAGTGAGACAATCATTCACAAAATTCACTTTCCTGAATTCCACACCAAGTCTCCATGACTGGCTTGAAAGACTCCTTAAGACAAATGAAGAAAAACTGTTAAGTCACTAGACCTAGCACTTGTTTCCTGTGCGTGAACAATGTTATTTTGCTATTAATTATGTTCAGAGCATCATGCACTTATCAGAGAACGCTCCAAAATAGTTTTAATCTTTGCAATCAGCATATATTTAATTGTCCCGAATCGTGACCAACACACTATTAACGATGTGAACAGTAGCTAATAAAATGTTGCATTACACTAAATTTGAAATTTCACCTAAATTATTGCAGCCGAGGAATCGAGGTTGGACTCCCGCAAGGGGAGGGGACTTTTTCTTCTCCCCAGCGTGTGGAGGGCACAGTCCTGTCCAATATGCACCAAGGCCTCTTTCCCGAGGATAAAGTCGCCAAGAGTGTGAAGATGACAACTCACCTCCATTTAGTGCCGAGGTTAAGATTGGTGGAGTTATACCTCCACTTCCCATGCGTCTTCATGGCACAGGGACAACTTTACCCCTTTTCCTTTGCCTACAGTGAGACTACCAGCATGTACGTAAATGGGTAGAGCTTGTGACAACTAGTGTGGAGGAATCGTCATTATTGAAACGTCGATTAAGTTAATGTTTCCTTTCTTTCAAATTCAGTTATCATTCCGTGTCCTTGTAATATATCTTGAACACAGAGAACGCTTACAGAGACATCTAGCAGTTGATCAATGAATTAATTAATTTGCAGAATTTTTCTACGTCAGGTCATTTGAGCCGAATAACAATTTAAGTTCATTCGATATAAAAGCCCTCAGTAAGCTTCACACAATTTTAAAAACCAAGGCAGTAGATAGGACTCAGCCTCTAAGAGAAATGAGCACCAGGAATCTTCATGGGGTGGGGGTGGGGTAAAGGGCGGCCGGCGCGTAAACCTGACAGCGTCACCGCCATCTGTGGGCCGATTCTCTACAAAATACGGGAGCCTTGACGTCCCACAACCTTATGGGCCTCCACGGCCGGTTACAGGAATAGCTTCATCTTTACGGAAGTAGATATTTTCTAGTGCTTTACGAATATTTATGAAGTCTTTCTAGCTTCAGCATTGCACAGAAATGATAACGTATCAACAAATGAAATCCTGAAATTACTTACGTGTCCATTTCACTTTCTGAAGAAGATGTTACTGAGGAAACCCATGATTCCGGTTTAGAAGAGCCATGGCTTCTGCTATCTGAAGCAGAACTACTGCTCCTGTAATTGGATAAGAGCCAACCAGAGCTGTTGCTACTGCTGCTACTGCTGCTTCTGCTGGTCAGATCGCTGAAGCTGCTGCGCGTGCTTCCAGAGGCAGAAGAATCTATTTCAAAATTGTAAAATTGGAGGTTTTCACAGCGGTGACTATGACGAATGACGCCTTCTGGGATTTGGCGCCGTTTAGATCTTGTGATAACGTCGGTTAACACAATATCTACACGACGCCACATCCCAGAAGACTGCTTTCTTCATATTTCAGAATTAATTGAAATTCTTCAAATTAGATGCTACAAAATTATAAAAATATAACTTATGTACGTGTATTTATCTATAGTAAAAGAGTAGAAGAAATCGAATCTCAAAGAGCTCTATCTTCTGGGATATAACTCCATAAGAGACGTTTCGGAGAAGCATTTCGCATGAAACCAACACTGCTCTGCTTGATGCCTGCTTTCACGCTGTTTCTTGCATGACTCCTTCTTCGACCCTGAAGAGGTAAGCTACATGCTCTTTCGAAACGTCTGTGAGAACTTCAAATCCTATATGAAGACTCTCGTTTGGTAACTTTTACGCCCCTAAACGTAGCCATAGATATGTCAATCGTCAAACTACGGCAATCAGTTAACGGAAGCAGGGAATTGACCGATATGAATGAAAACCAACTTCAGAAACTGTATTTCGTGAAGATCCTTTTTCAACAAAGAAAGTTGCTACTACTCTTATGCACTATGGAAGGGGGTAATAATACCTGTTAGGAAGGGCACTGTCTTCTTGGATTGGCGTTGTATAATGTGGTAGAAGTGTACACGCTTTTCGGGGAACACATTGCCTCCGTATTCAGGGTCTAAGAGAAAGCCGTGCAAGAAGAAAGAAAATTCACTTCTATGACCCCATAATTCTCTAGGAATGGCGTTCCATGGTTTACAAAGCGGTCAACTGCCCTGTTCCTTTGTAGTCTTACCCCCACAACCCTTGGTCCTGTCCTCTTCAGACAAAGGGCACAATTCCGTATCAGAGGAATATGAACTGACGCTTCTTAATTCGCTCTCAGATAAGCTCTCAGGGTCACGACTTGTGCGGCTTACTGATCCTCGGCTGCCAGAAGAAGTGGACGAAGTACCAGAAGAATCCAATTCGCAACTGCTAAGTTGATGACAAATTCTCTCTACTGATTTCTTGGGCTGTCGTTTAGATGATGGTCTCTTCTGTGGCATCTCCGATAGTGTGAGGGGATGACTGTCAAAGTAGAGACAAGTGATTGATATGATCGACAAACGTATCACAAGTAGACAAATTCCAATTATGTAGCACAGTTCAATTCAGTATTCCACTGTCACTATTTAGAGTAAAAAGTAATTTGGAAATTGTACATACACATAACATAAACTGATGTCAGTAGCAATCACAGACTATGACTAGATTTTTCTCTGTGCTCAAAATATTGTCATGTGATAGGGTGTGACTATAGACGGTGTTTGGATTAGTAACGGGAATTATTGAACACTTACAGAACGTAACTAGAAGTAACTACAGCGCTATCGCTAATTCACACGCTCTGCAGTTCACTACAGCACGTACTTAAAGTTTTCTCAGCCTGCTGTTTTTTTTTCGCCACTTTTCTGGCAACGGCTTCCAGAGGCGAACGTTCCTCTTCCTCTGGATCCCGAACTATCTCCGGTCTCCGTTTCTCTCAGCAACAGCTCACAAGGACTGGCCCACAAGAGTCATCTAACTAACTCACACATTCACTCACCAGTCAACACACTCCACTACACTAACTCTCACTAACTGCCCTGTTTATAATATCTCGGCATGGACCACACAGAAAACATCGTTCCTCTGTTGTTCATTTACTGTTTACCGGACCGCGAGGAAAACACCATTCTTCTGTAGTTGTTTGCGGGTTGCTCCCTTAGAAAGAAATAACCTCAATCACCGAGATTTTATTTCTGTCTCTCCCCTCACCTGAAGAAGGAAACAGTTCCAGTTTCTGAAACATTGTGTTTTCTAGTTTGTAGAATACGGGTCGATGGACAAAGTCCGAAAGCCCAGTAATTCGGAGTACTGCACATCATCGTCAGAAAACTTTAGAATCTGCTTAGTTAGTGTTAAACATTTCTTAATGTGTATGAATTTCTCTTCACAATGAATGGTACAGCTTTATGATTGTTAAGTAACACTGACTCATGTCGCAAATGGCTTTCCCTGTATGTAAGCCTCTTCCATCGAAATGTAGCCTTGCAATTTGCTATCCACTTCCCATGATCGTGAGCCAACATAGAGCTTGAAAACAAGGTATGACGCTTTTATTAAGAATTTATTTTAAATTCATGATTATGATCCCGCTATTATGAAACCCAGTGGTTCATTGTATTATTCACAAAATTCCAAGCCAGATTATTGCAAATGCACTTCCCTATGGCACACATCTACTGAATCCAGTTTAATCCCCATCTACGCCTAAATCTATAAAGTGGTCTTTGTCTTTAGTTTTCCGATTACAACTTCGTACGCACTTCTCACATCTTCCACGCATATTGCAAAACTTGCTTATCTTATTCCCCTTCGCTTGTTCCCCCCTAAGTCACAAAAATTCTTTTTACGCATTTTTCTCTAGGCTCGCGTTGCTTCCTTTCTTTTAGGTCAAAATATTTTAATTTTATATGAAAATAAAACAAAGAATGATGTTAATAATTCTTAAAGGATTAGATGAAAATTAAAGTTAATAATAAGGTTTTCGGGCACGACTCCGGTAGGCATGAATTTAATATTATTTTCATTGCCACCAAAAACCGATGTATTTATCACAGACATCTTATGTGGAAGTTCCGAGCAGCACAGAATAGTCATATATAAATATTTTTCTTACGATATTTTCAGACTGTCCCATATACCCGTTTTAGAAAGACTTAATATTTAAATCCTAAAGTAAGACTGCGCGGTCGGCCCGGGTTCGATCCCGGGTCTGGTCAAATGGGATTTGTGGAGGACGAAGTGGCGCTGGGGCAGGTTTCCTCAGAGTACTTCGGTTTCCCCTGCCAATCTTCATTCCACCAATTGCTCCACAATCACCCTCACCTATCATCTGGGGCTGGTACAATAGGCCAGAAGTGGCCGCAGTACAAGGGACCTAGTCCCACCCCACTAGCAATAAAAGAAAGACTACAGTGTTTGTTTACAAGTAATAATAACATGTATTCTCTCTGCTCTGTAATGGGAACAGTAGTGGAGTTGCATTAAACTGTATGGAAAACCGTGTTAGGCTGTGAGAACTACCGGAATAAGGAGAAATCCAAAATTTGTATATGGCATTTACATCTGTAGCGCAATATTCAATTAATTTCATACGAGAGAACTATTCGTTTCTGTGCCAACTTACGTAATTCAATTATTCTTTCATATTGTTGTCAAAAATGAGAAAAGGATGTTTCAGTATTCGATTTTTTATGGGAAAAATGTACCTGACATTTCATAACCTCGGAACCTCGTATATTCACCAACTTTAATCGTCTTAGATTAAGTATGGACATGATAAATAGTCTGGATCTTATATATTTTGTACGATATCCCTATTTTGAAAATTATGCTTAACTTTACTTTAACACAAAATGAAAAATTAAAAACTTCCTTACATTATAGTTCTTTAAGATAATTACGAGAAAAGAAAATTCCAGTAAAATAAGCTACCGGTACAATGGGTATATTGTATGCTAATCCAGAGTTGCAATAACTGACGTAATAAAATACAAACTGTTTAGTACAACGAAGAATTTGACATACTAGACCAATATTATAATAAACTGAAAAATAAATTTCTACGGATTTTACTCACCCAGGCTCGAGAGAAATAATATAAAAATAACTAAAAAAAATAGACGTTACATAAATGTTTAATTGATTCTGATAGTTCCTATTTTACGAACACATTTAACTTACATTCGGAATCAAAGCTTCGAGCAACAACCACACGCAGTGAACCAGTCCGTACTAAACACGGCACCAGCAAACGTTTGGAAGTAGCGCGCGGTCAGATCAAACCAAAGACTATATACATGAAGATATCACTGCTCAAACCATATGCAGTCCTCATCACAGAATATTTCACAGTCACAGCATTATGTACACAAACCTATTAAATATTAATATAAACATGTAAACCAGAATCAAAGTAGAACGTAATAAATAAACATTCTGAACTAATCTAGATGCCATACAGAAAAACGCACAAATTTTAATTGACGTTAGTAAGAAGGTTGGTCTAAAAGTAAACGCAGAGAAAACTAACAATATGTTGCTGTCTCGTCACCAAAATGCAGGGCAAAATCATGACATAAAGATAGGTAACAGATGTTTTGAAAATGTGGCACAGTTCAGATATTTGGGAAGGACTATAACAAATCATAACCTGATTCAGGACGAAATTAACAGGAGATTGAACTCGGGTAATGCTTGATACCATTCAGTTCAGAACCTTTTGTCTTCTCGTCTGCTGTCTAAAAACATAAAAACTACAATATACAAAACTATAATCTTGCCTGTGGTTCTGTATGGGTGTGAAACCTGGTCTCTGACTTTAAGGGAGGAACATAGACTGAGGGTGTTCGAGAACGGGGTGCTGAGTAGAATATTTGGATCGAAGAGAGACAATTGCAAAATGAGGAGCTTCATAATTTGTACTCTTCTCCAAGTATAATTAGAATGACCAAGTCAAGGAGGAAGAGATGGGCAGGGCATGTGGCAAGAATGGGGGAGAAGAGGAACGCATATAGGATATTGCTGGGAAAGCCAGTAAGAAAGAGACCATTGGGAAGACCAAGGTGTAAATGGGTGTACAATATTAAAATGGGCCTTAGAGAGATAGGATGAGATGGTATGGTATGGATTGGTTTGACGTGGCTCAGGATAGGGACCAGTGTAGGGCTCAAGTGAACACGAATCTTCGAGTTCCACAAAATACTGGGAAATTCTTGACTAGCTGCACAATTGACGGCTTCTCAAGAAGAACTCAGCTACATGAGTGAGTGAGTGAGTGACTTTATCCTTCCAGCCGCCCTATGGCCCTGGGATTGACACAGACTCTAACAGAAATGGGTACAAGTAATCTTCCTGGGGGGTAAAGGGCGGCCGACGCATAAGTCTGACCTCACCGTCAACTGTGAGCCGACTGTCTAGTAAATATGGGAACCTCGACGTCTCACAGCCCTATGGGCCTTCACGGCCTGTTACAGGGATATCTATGTATCTCCCTCTGTCTCACTCAGGCACAAATCAAATCTAATGCCCAAGGTTTCTTTTGCCACCCCTGATCAGCCGCGCGTGCTGTACCTTTACTGCCGATCGCTCCAAGTGAGTGCCACTGTAAACACCCTGTCGTGTCTGGTACTTAATCAATTCTGTCGTATTCCTTCACTTATAAATACACGTGGAACTGACATTCATATAAATGTATTAGTAATTCGACAAAGTCTGCTGTATTAACATCACGGCTTGCAAATAACAAACTTGCTTCTCCCTGAAGCCTACACAGGGTGGTATATATCTGAGCCTAGCTGATGTGTGCCAAATGTAATTTAAATTGATGTATAAAACACTTCCAGAATGAATTATAATGAAAACTTAAGGAAGATTATATATGTAAATTTTATCATATATATCTCCAAAACAAATGAACAGATTTTGATTAAATTTGGTATTGGGGGTGTTTTACACTGAAACCTGTTGGGTGAATTTGATTTTTGTTCGTACTGGTCCCTGCACTATTTGAAGCTCGAAGTTAGCCGTTTTTTTCTTCAAAAGGTTATCTTTGTATAATTAAAAACTGGTATAACGGATAAAATACAGATCTCCTCGAGATTACCGACTGTAGATTCAACGAAATACGAGAAAAACTAGTTTCTAAATTTATGCAATGCAACATCTGCGGCGTGATTACCTTTACAGCAATGGGCTTGTCTTCTACTTCTAGAAAAGTAAAACTGTCCCTTTGCTTAATTATTTTGGCACTATGCCACGAAAACGTACTGGAAGAGTGGAGGTATAGCTCCACCATTCTCGACCTCGGCACTAGATGGAGGTGAGTGGTCATTTTCACGCACCGGCCTCATTGCCCGCCGGGAAACAGCCGTCGGTACCCACTGTACAGGGGTCTGAGTGGGGCCCAGAGCCGGCATTGACGCTGTGGAGAAGAGAAAGATCTTGTTCCTGCCGAGAATCGAGCCCCGGTCGTTTAGCCCGTAGGCCATCGCTATACCTACTTCTTCTTCACTTAACAGTGTTGACGATAGAGCTTAAAATTTTGTTGACATCCATTTTGAAGAAGGGAGACAGGAAAGAATATTAGACTTGTAAGTTTACGTACAGTTTATTCTTGTGGGGGAGAGAGAGAGATGGAGGGGGGGAGATTGACGGAGTGGTCCATAGATACTCCGGTACAGACATAAGATCGACGACCATTTTTGATCTTAGAAATGAAAAATACTTGGGTAATGTTCGTATTTTCCAATCTGGCTCCTTGTTGTTTCGGATATCCTATAGGCCTTCGATGCCTGTCTTCGGAGAAATAATAAAAAATATTTTCAGTGGAAAAGTTTAAAAATTCTTTAAGTATGCCAAGGTTTTGAGAATAGCGTACGTCACTTTTGGAGAAAGACTAAACAAAAATTTAAATTTCTCGCAAAAATATAAATATAGGAATGTAGAAATATTCTAAATGTTTTCAAGAACATGAAAATTGTTGTTATTTTTCGAAATAACGAAAATCTAGAAAAACTAACCAAATGGGAACGGTCATGTGGTTAATAAGTCGTGAGTGAATGAACAGAGGAGAGAGTAGTTAAGCAATAAGAAAAGCCCATCTGGTTACTGGGTCGTGATGTATAACGAAATACGTACATGATGTGTAATCGAGCAGAGTATGCTTCATGTGAATTACAGCCTTTTGTCGAAAAGGAAGTCCAAGGAAGAACAAATCAAAATACAATGGTCTTGGGTCCCAGCGGGGCCCGATACCGCGAGTAACAGTGCTGGTACTACTGCAGACTCAGCCCCAGTCATGAGCTTCTTTCTCCAGTGGCCGGAGGTGCCACAGGGGGACATAAGGGGGCGTCTAATCTAACGCGCCTACTCCAAGAAGATAAGGGCGTTTTCCCGAATACACAGGGTAGTATTTTTTTTTCTCATTGAGTCCACGTGATACTGCGGCCACTTCTGGACTATTGTACCAGCCCTAGATGATAGATGATGATGCTGAATGTGGAGCAATTGGTTGAATTTGAATTGGCAGAGGAAACCTGTCCCAGTGCCACTTCATCACCTCAAATCCCACATAAACTGACCCGGGCTCGAACCCGAGCCGCCGCAGTATGAAGCATGCGACTAAAAGCCTGAGCTATGGCACGGCCCACAGGGAAGTAAGTTCATTGTTCTTTTGGAGTATTATGTAAGTGAACAATTAACCAGAATTCAATTTCCTGTGTTTGCGATTACGGTATGGTATAACGCCAAGTACAATCCCTAAGTGTCCTCTGGTTCTTGCTGTAGTCAGGGTAATATCTTACCCGAGGATGCTAACAAACAAGGATACCCGACCGCATGTTTTCTCACGAATTGCAGGTAGGGTAACCTGACGCAGAGACCTACTATCTACTTTAAATAAGTCAGTATCTATTTATTTAGCACGTCCTGTATTTGATAAGAAAACAGTGCTCCTCTCGTAAAAACTGTGTTTATCGATCTATAAGCAGATCAAACAAGTCGAATTGGATGAGTGACAAGTTTACTTACCTCCGAATGAAAATTATTTCCCTCTCACACAAAGATAATCGTTTCTATTGCACTGAACCTCGACACCATGAAAGCTGAAATAAATTAATACCACCTCATGTCCTATTTCTTCAGAACACACAGAAATGTTTCATGGGTTCTTGTTGTTATTACGTGAAACTAAGAAGCTTCAACTACACATCTACCTCTTTGCATGATTGAATATAAATCACACAAATTGTGCGAAAGGGGAAAATTGTGAGCTTTTAAGTTTTCGCGAAGGTGCGAACAAAACTGTTGTTAGTATGTGTATATGTTATTTCAAATGTGCTGTGCATGTTCTAACACACTGCATTGTTTTTCTGTGGAAAGCACTGAAATGAATTGACATATACAACTATGGAATTAAGAAGACGAGTGCAAACCGTGTTGTGAACAAGTTTAACTTGCAAAACTGCATTTTTGAGTCACAATTTACGTACTTTTTAGAATATTACAGAGTGTAATCTTTTATACTACAAACCTATACCTCTGTACCGCATATACTTCTTTATGGCGTGGTGTTTCATTAATTAAGCCCAGGGATATGCCTTTACAGAGTCTATGAGATAACTGAAATAACTTCAGCACTGAGAACTTACAATAAATATGTTTAGTGCAACACGAATTTCGCAGAGGTGTAGCATCAAATTGTGCATCGCAGTTTCTATAACATCATGAACGTCATGACGAGAGTACTCTTTATTGTTTTACTACATGACTTCCTAGCATGTTTCGGGCATACATATTCGTTCCGTGAACTGCATGTAGATGGCAGAAGAGATGGAATAGGTGGGGATATTGATGACAAATCATTCCGGATTCTTACAAAGTGCTTCTTCAACAACGCCCAGTACATTACATTGATCTATATTGTCGATAATTTACAATCTGAAGTTGTTACAGATATATCAACAGAACTGACCGGTTTCTTTCATCATCGGATACAAATTCCTATCAAGACATTTTACGAATTAAAAGACGCAACAACGTATAATTTTAATGTCCCATCAGACAACAGACGCGATGTTCTATTTATAACAGAAAATATAAACTCGTTGATTCAATATTTGGATAAAAATCAAATTAATATAACGCAGTGGACTGCAACAGACAATTTCTTTATCATTTACATTAAATCGTTGAAAACGCGACTATATCCAAATGATTACGAGGTGGAATATGGTGAGTTATTTCAAATTATATGGACACGTTATAAAATTTTAAAAGTCCTTATCTTGGATAATCGCCGTTCTTCACGTTTCTGGCATAAAACTGGAACAGACATAGTGACTTTCAATCCATTTTTAAAGGTTGGTAACATACGAGGAATGGTACAGTTATATAGCATTACAGACATCAACATTGTGTGTCAAAGACTTGATCATTTGGTTGATGATCTACATGGCTATCCGATCGGTGTGACAATATTCACTGCATACCCATATGCAGTACCAATTCGCAGCAAACAAATGGACTCGAAGAGTTATGGCGGTGTGGATGGCAATTCGATGAATGTAGCCGCACAGTTTATGAACTTCAAGCCCATCATACATAGACCAAAAGATAAAGTAAAGTTTGGTTACAAAACGGAGGAAGGCACATACGTTGGTTCAATAGGAGATATTGTTTATGGGAAAAGCGATATTGCTTTCAATTCTCATTATATTAGAAACTATGACAATGCTGAAATTCAGTTCGTAGTCCCACCCGTTATATATGACGCTATAGTTATCCTTGTACCCAAAAGCCAACTAATCCCTAGATGGATGGACCTATTTGAATGCTTTAGTTTGACAGAACTATTTTTTCTCCTTGGTTTTTATATTATATCTGTGTGTTTCAGCATATTTATTAAGAGATATTTAGGTGCTACAATCAACATTTATGAAACCGTTCGCATTGCTGTCGGCATATTAAAAATGTTTCTAACTATTCCCATAGCAGGAACAAAACAATTAACATCATTCTCTGAGAGAATTTTTGTTTCGTCTTGCCTGTTGGTTGGTGTACTAATAGTTACGGCTATTCAAGTTACACTGGTAACAGAAATCAGTAGTCCGAATTACTATCCTGATATCAATACACTGGAACAATTAGAAGAATCAGGGTTACCAATATCAACATCGTACCAAAATCTTGTAGACATTTTCAACTACAGTGACAGCCCAATAATGACAAGTCTTGCAAAAAAGGTTAGATTGGAAAGTAACAATTACGGTATCAAAGAGCGAATTGCCCATAAAATGGATTACGCCGCAGTTACCACCCTTTCGAATGCCCAGCATTTTCTAAAAAGATATACTGGACCATCTGATAACCCCTTGCTGCATGCCGTTCGGGAAACGCCTCGAGGATATTTCTTATCGTATGTTGTCCCTAAACATTCTCCGTATGTGCGACATTTAAACTACGTAATATCAGTACTAATTGAAAGTGGTCTCGTAAAGAAGTGGAATGCTGATCAATTTTGGGAACATCGGTTAGCAGTAGGGCATAACCACACTCGCGCAGAAAAGTCGAAACTATATGCATACTCAATGAATGACTTACAAACTGCGTTCTTCGTCTTGGCGTCCGGCCTATCTTGTGGTGTCGTTGCTTTCATAGTGGAAATGATGGTAGCTTTTAAGTTGTTCTCGTGGGACGGGTAACCTGCGAGACATGCAACCATTACACGTAGATCAGACGTCAAAATTTAAGTGTAACTTAATATGTCCTGTAGTGTACAACCACACGTTATGAACAGAATTTTACTTCATAAGTTTCAAAGGCCCTATAATTTTGCCTGTGGTTCTGTATGGGTGTGAAACTTGGTTTCTGACATTAAGGGAGAAACACAGACTGAGGGTGTTTGAGACCAGGATATTGAGGAGAATATTTGGACCGAAGAGAGATGAAGTGACGGGAAGTTGGAGAAAACTGCATAGTGAGGAGCTTCATAACTTGTACTCTTCTCCAAGTATAATTAGAATGATCAAGTCAATGAGAATGAGATGGACAAGGAATATAGCACGAATGGGGGGAGAAGAGGAATGTATATAGGATATTGGTGGGAGAGCCAGATGGAAAGAAACTACTAGGAAGACCAAGACGCAGCTGGGTGAACAATATTAAAATGGATGAGGGACAGGATGGGATGGTATGGATTGGATTGATCTGACTCAGGAGAGGGACCAGTGAAGGACTCTTGTGAACATAGTAATGAACCTTTGGGTTCAATAAAATGCTGGAAAGTTCTTGAGTAGCTGCACAATTGGCGGCTTTTCAGGAACGGCTCAGCTCCGTGAGTGAGTGATGTTCGAAAGGCCACATCTGGAAGGCAAAAGTACCTGTGAAATATTTCAGACGATATGAAAAAATGTGTTAGAAAAGAAACATTTGGTGATGAAGACAAACATTTGCCAAAAGCACAGCAATGTACTTATAAATTAATGTAATAAGACGTAGTTCCTAGTGCCTGTGGTTCTGTATGGTTGTGAAACTCTGTCTCTGACATTAAGGAAGGAACATAAATTGAGGGTGTCTGACAAAACTGCATAATGAAGAGCTTCAGAACTTGTACTCTTCGCCAACTATAATTAGAATGATGTCAAGGAGGTTGAGTTTGCTAGGGTATGTGGCACGAATCGGGGCGAAGAGGAACGTATATAGTGTATTGATGGGAAGGCAAGAAGGAATGAAACCACTAGGAAGACCAAGACATAGCTGGGTGGATTGTATTAAAATGGATCTTGGAAAGATGGGATCGTGTGGTATGGACTGGGTTGATCTCGTCAGGATAGGGACCAGTGGATGGGTCTTGTGAAAACGGTAATGAAACTTTGGGTTCCATAAAATGTTGGGAAGTTCTTGAGTAGCTGCAGAACTGGCGGCTTCTCAAGAAGGGCTCAGCTCCGTGAAGTAAGATAGTTAGACGACGTTCCTATCACCTTATCAAAACATACCTGAACTGAAATTACAGATATTTTCAAACAATAATACTATTGTGGGATTTCAGGTTCCCACGCTGGTGGTTATGAACAGTTTTCTGGGATACAACGCTTTGTAGTCCGTTGAAACCGATGTTTCGGAGGAACATGTCGCCTCCATCTTCATGGTCGAAAAGAAGCAAGCAAAAAACCAACACTGCTCTGCTTGTCGCCTGTTTTCACCCTGGCTTCTTTCTTGTCTTCTTCTTCGACCCTGACAATGATGCAGTATGTTCCTCCGAAACGTCGGTTAACTTTTTAACGGTCTATACGGTGTTATATCCCATAAAACAGAACTCCTCAAGAATACAATTTTTTCGAGAAAGTTACTGGGATGTTGTGCCGTGTAGTCTGGTTGATATTTACAGTAACCTTCATAGTCGGCCGCGCCACAGCTCAAGCTGTTAGTCGCTGTCTCCCCACCGCGGCGGGCGGGGTTCGGTCAAGTGAGATTTGTGGTGGACAAAGTGGCGCTGGGGCGAGTTTTCTTAGAGTACTTCGGTTTCCCCTGCCAATCTTCATTCCACCAAATTCTCCGTCATCATAATCACCCGGGGCAGGTACAATAGGCCAATCAGTGGCCGCCGTGCCGAGTGGACCCAGCTGGACTCCACCCCCCACTAAGCGAAAAAAAAAAAAACATTCATAGCTATCGCAATGGCAACCTCGAATCGTACTTGTACATGGTGTAAACCGACAGCCTGCTGGGAAGCATTTGATTTCCGTGAAGCATGACGGCATCTACAGGCCTGTGAGAAGGGTAAGGACAAAAGCGATTTATACATCTGTTGGTAAGAAGTATACAGATATGCTACTTCTACGCTCTTGTGTACATTGCATGTGTTTAAATTCTGGTGGGTAGGGGAAGGGGGTAAAAGTAAATTTGTCCATGTGCTTAATTAATTAAGCACTACGCCATGGCCTCGGCACTAGCTGGAGGTAAGTGGTCAGCTTCACGCCCCTGCCGTTTTATCCCCGGGGAAAGAACCCCAGGTACCCATTGGATAGGAGGCTGGGTGGGCCCCAAAGCCGGTTATGAAGAATTGGAGAAAATTCTTGAACCTACCGGGACTCGAACTCCGTCCAGCAGGTAGCCAGTCGCTATACCGTCTACGCCATTCCGGCTTCAGGTGGAGGGAGACTGTTTCGAAATTCAAATCCTTTTCGTTTTTACCTACTGCACGAACCTTGAAAACCACCTACTGATTAACTTATATGAGATGGCACTTAAACCTCTATACTGCTGGCCTGAGTTTTTAAAACATTCCTGTGGGTAGGTCATATTTTAAATGGGTAACATTGTGGAGGACGGGGGAAGTCCCGTCAGGAATGATATTTCCGGTATGGTGATTCTGGTTCCCATTGTATGTTGCAAATAGAATCTAGTTAACTGTCTAATAATTACGTCACGATATTGATGATCCTGATGACGCACTCTCAAGAATGTTTTCGATTTTAACCCTTAAACCGCTCAACTTTCAACAGAGAATTTATATCTCTAGGTACCAAATATTTCACTGTTTATTTATTTAAGTGAATATTCCGTAACGCTTATTAAGATTATGGAGAAAAGTTTTAAAACGATACGGAAGAAAGCGGTATCCAATTTGCAGGCACAATCCTGGCAGTTTCTGGGAGGGACTGAAGTAAGAGGGTGAACAATTGGTCAGAAGAATCGACTTATATAGATTTAGACACTCAAAGTAGTACCTTCCCAACATAAAGCAGCTCTAATTAGTATAATGTAACGTTTGTTTATAACACTGGCATCTTGTTATCAACTTTGAATCTTCTAAGTGAACTGCCTGTCAACAATACCAACATTGCTGCTATGCAAAACTGTTCAGTGTAGTGTCTGACAATGTTGTATGTTGCATGTAGTCTCTGAGATAAAATCCATGTCTTACAAAACCACTAAGTCATAAACTGGTTATCACTCAAATGGTTTTGATTTGTCCATAATTTTTAAATCACAGAAACGTGATCTTTGAATTTATATGGTGACACATAATATAAAGGCTTCTATTAATAGGCATATTATGGATGATATATTAGTGTATAAAATCAGTTTTTTGTAAGCTTAAAATGTTTCACACCAATGATTTATGTCTATTTGTACAGACAGGTATGTAAATTTTAGACAATAAAAACAAAAGGCACAAAATAACTGCAGAGATGTTGTATATGTGTATATCAGTGAAAGGAAATGCAGACTGGATTCTACATGGACATTCTCGTCCATCTGATACATGGTGTAGTTTACTTTCATGAAATGTAACAAATTTTAAGCTATTTGGTTCACATTTATAATGCTCTTGTAAAAGTATACAAACACAGACAGGTACCAAATATGGATGGTGAAGTAGAAGACGATGATGATGCTGGAGGAGGAGGAATGAAGAAACCTGACAGAACTGATTCGATTCTCAGGCAATGCTTCAAAATGTTTTTGGCCATAAGAACTACCAACAAAATTTGACTTTCATGGTAAACTCATATGAAATACTAAAAACTGCAAATTTGGAGTTTTCTGTTTTCCTGCAGACAAATTCAGCACTAATTATAGTGTAGCAAACAATAAGCTGCTTTGTCAGTCATAAGTGAAAGATATATAACAAGAGATCTTAATTAATGGTCTTTAAGGCATCACTTGTAGATAAATGTGCTCTTTTTTGGTATATTTCCTCATACTTTACGGCCATAAATCTAATTACATCAACAGAACCAGCTTGTAGATTTACAATTTAGAAATAAAATTCAATTTCACCTGGGACACACTTGCAATGTTTCTATACATTATGTATATGCAGAAGAAAAGACATATTTAGTATTCTAATAATTTATTTTCGTGGGGGGACAAAAAAAGCTGCTTGGTATAATCTTTACACTGTATAAAACAACATAACATTCCATTGTATATTTCTATAAAAATATTCCACTGCTTCAGTGTTATTTTAATAGTTTTCAACAATCCTCAACCAATACATAGTGCAATTGTTATTGATGCATTTCTTTTAGTGTGTTCTTTGTTAACTCTTCTGTTCATTAGTGCCTTCTGGACAACAATCCTTATCAATTAGTGGCATTCACTGTGGAATGAAGTTTAACTGATATCTTATACAACTAGCAAGTGCAATGAAAACAATTCTGAATTACAAACAGTAAAAATGTTAAAATTAACTACATACTGGCAACATTTACAGTAATAGTGGTAATCCATATCAAAAGGCATAAATACACAAAATGTATTATATCAATAGATCATTGAAGGTTGCAGTGCGAGGGCCAGTTTTATGGCTCACCCCTCATATTCATACTCAAGTGTATTAAATTAAATAATGATTTCACATTAAACTAATAACAACTGTCTTTCAGGTTGTCCATATTTCTTCCCAAAATATCTTCTTCATTCCCATAATATTCTCCAACTGTGCCAAATCATCTACCCTGAACCTGAGGCTAAGATAAGAAAAATGTTTTTGAACCAGAAATTACTCTAACCTAACTTTATATTGAATTTAAAGATGGAAAACCACTTACTCTGGCTCCTTCACACCTGAAAGCACACTGACAGAAAGAGCAGGATTCAACCACAAAATGATATCTGATATCATGTAGAGATATCTCCATCTGATATTAGCTAAAGACCATCAAGCCCACATTTAAGCAACCTTTGATCAGTCATAACAAGATAAAATAAGTGGAGGACCAAGTTTTACTGCATTATCCGTAGCAAAAACACACAGAGTCCCAAAATCAAACACTGTACATGTCTTTCCTACTTCTATTTTAAATTCAGCAGAGGGAATAATGAAGCAAAAAAAGCTGATGCATAAAAATATGAGATTCACATCTAGCAGTAATTCATTTCCCTCAGTAAATGCTCTGGTGTAAAAATAAAATGTGATTATGAATACATTTTTCTATGTAATGAAAAATATGATAATACAGAAGTGAGTCTTCAATACATCTACGGTAAACTACAAAACTTCTGTTCTTAATACAGGACAGAAGCTTAAGAGAAAGTAATTTTCCACATAACTGCAAAGGTGCTGAGACTATTTCTGTATAATCAGTTTTCTTAAAAAATATGTGAAAGCTGCTCTAATGTTTAAAAGATGAAGTGCTTAATCAAGCACTGCCATGGCAATGCTTAGGGGAACAGACATCTGCACATTCTTAACTTTGGCACTGAATAAAGGTAAGTGGTCACCTGGCTGCTTCACCTCCACAGAAAGAGTTCACAGTACCCACTGGGTGGCCCCCAGAGCTGGTCTGCACACAATAAAAAGTAAAGTTATCCCTGGGTTAATCTAATGAAGCACCACATCATATGAAGAATGATGCAGGGGTAGGGATGTAACTCCACCATTCTTAACCTTGGCACTAGATGGAAGCAAGCAGTAGCTTCATGCCTCCACCACTTTACCCACTACAACCCCCTGTACCCATTGTATAGGAGATTGGGCGGGCCCCAGAGCTGGTCTGGATTTTACAAAGAGAAGAGAAGAATCTCTTACTCCTGCTGGACATCGAACTATGGACATAGTGTCAAAGAAAGAAATCCCTGCTCATACCAGGAATCAAACTTTGGTCGTCCAGCCCCCAGTGTAGCACTAGAGTGAACACGGAGCTATTCTGCATAATGTATTCCTTTCAAATTCAGAATCGATGGGATGATGATGGAAATCAAACCAAGCCATCGTTATTCTGTGTTTCCAACTTTATGTAAAATATCACAAATTTTTAAAGTCACAGCAGTCATACACATTGGGCACCTGGGCAGAAAGTAAATGCTTGTAAACATCAAATATGAAGAGTAAACAGACAGCATTCCTGAAACCACATTTTCAGACTATGGGCTATCTCAAATATACATCCTTCAGAGTTACAGTTGTGATGCCTGTTTTGTACACCTTACAATATTCCAGCATTATGGCTTCAGATACTTGTATGTGTTAACACAGACAAAAAGACATAATACTGGAAGACCCTTCAACCGAAACTATAAAGAATGTGCAGACTGAATCCCTTCATACCATTAAGGAAATATACCAAAGATTATCAGGTTCAAGCAGTAAATTGTTCATAAGATAAATTAAATAGCATCATAACAATCCCCACATCTGTTTAAATTACCCCGTAAGATTGACATTCCAACACTATAGTCTATTTATCTACCCATCTATCAAAACATACTGTATTTAGGTGCTAGGGGCTTGATTTCTTTCAGTGAATACACAGAAAGATTATGTGAAGGCCTTCGATATTGCTTTGTTGGCGACAAAGAATATTAGACTGTCATACAGGCAGGTAAGGTAAAGTTGACCCTGTGCTTAATTAATTAAACACCACATTATGAAGAGGCTTGGAGAATGAGGAGTCATACAGAAAGGGAAACATTAAATAGCAAATAATGAATCAAAACTTATGTGGAAGTAAAAGGTTGTGGCATAATTTGATGAACTATCCTGGCATTTGCCTGGAGGGACTGAGGAAACCCATGGAAAGCCTCAATTAAGATCATTGGTGTCCTGGAAAAGACTTTAACTACACTCTTCTCAGATACAAGTTAGAACTGTTACTCCTGGAGCCGACTTGTCCACTCTGAACCATTACAACTAGACTTCACTGCTCAACAGAAGACGTAAGAAAAGGTTAAATGCATATTGCTTGGCACAAAACAAAAATAAACTGAAGCCTCTCTTTTATCTCTCTCATTTACTAATCAAATGTGCAGCTTTATTTATCATATTTTCTAAATATCTTTTGGAGACAAACTACCCTTCCCTCAGTGACATATCATGCAAAATCCATGATATGTCTATCTTCTAAAATGTTAAGCATATTTAATTGTAATAAGTTTTGTGATCAAGCAATTAATAAGGGTTTCATGCTGATAATCTAGATTATAAATACTACACAATAAAAAAATTTTTCACACTGTCCAACTATACACATAAAAATACAAGCAGCATCATAATCTGTAGAGCTCATTTCACAGATATAACATCTGAATATGAGGCTCGACTATTAGTATCATCACATTTATGCAATAGTAATAAAATACACTCAAACAGGTTTTACAAATAAAACAGATAATATGAAACAAACCATTTTCTTACAGTAGCTCTAGATAGAATTGGATACCATTTATGAGCAACCACAATACTGTCTGTGCTTGAACAGGTGACATATTACAGATTTCTATTAGGACATGACAAAGATAAAGTAAACATAACCTTACCCCATCCTAAGCACTATAAAACATATACGAGGTTTGGAAGCATAGCGCTGGACATCCTTGAATCTCAGTACTATATATAGACAAGAGATTTTCTTCATGACGCTACCACCTCCATCCACAAAGGGAAGTCCAACCGTGTACCTCCTGGTCCATCAGTAATGCCACCAAACAAATAACAACATACGGTTCATACAGCCACCATGTTTGTGGCTAACTGTACTTTCTAAACCTTCTTGGATGAAAAAAGGGGCATATCTGTTGAAAACTGTAAATAATTTGAAGTTGCACATAGTCAAAAGATCGTGTGTAAATGTACATCAGTGACCAAAAATGAACGCTAACTCAAATGTGACATTCAGTAATGTACAAAATAAGCATAATTCTGTCCACATTCAAATGTCACATTTCCCAAAGTCACAAAAAAGGTAACTCTCTTATCCTTCACAGAAGAGCATAACTATATCACCTCTTAAATCTCTTGAACAAAAATAATCATTTATTATAAGACCCCAATATGACACAAATTTCAGTATAAATTTATAGTATTACTATTTGTATAATAGTTGTAAAAGAAAATTTGGACGTAAGTGGCCTCAGTAAATAATACTGTTCCATATGTTTATATATTTGGTATGGCAGGTTTCAACTGAACACTGCCAGGAAAAATCTGTTTCTGGGTTATATCAGTCAGATGATCAAATAAAACTTCAGCTGCTTTCTCAAATATGATTTATCACAACCCTCTGCCAGAGAAAAAGATTTTAAAAAATATACAGAAAGTACCCTACATAATGTAAAATACAGACCTCATTAAGATCATTAAGTATCATGAACATTATACACACTCTCAACTGTAGTATTTTTAATAAATTATGGGAAAATAATGTACTTCATAATAATGGATATTCATATCATGGTGTCAGTTCAACTTTAGTGCTTATTTCTAACTCCGTGGTATATTGCATCATGAAGAGAAAAGTTAGAAATTTTGGCATTTTTGTTGTTAAATTTTCAGGTTTTCATGATGTGGCTGTTGGGATTGCGGTCTTCTTGGCTGTAACACTTTGTAGTCTTATAGGTGGATATTGATGTTTTGGAGGAATATACTGCTTCCATCTTCAGGACTGATATCTAAGCGAAGAATTGAATAATACTGTAGTCCTCAAAAGTCTGTTTTCCTACCTCCTGTTCTCAGTGGCCTGAACTGACTCCATAGCCTTACCCACTCCTGTGGCTCTGAGTCACCATTTTACTTGCAAGCTGCATATACAGCAGAATCAAATCCACACTCTACACACTTTGGCCCTGAAGACAGAGGCAGCACAATTCCTTGAAAGTCTTAGTATTCACCTACAAGACTACATGATGTCTGTTTGGTAAAAGGTAAAAAGTTAAAGCTATCCCTGTAAAATGACGTGAAGGCCCATATGATTGTGACTTATGCGCCAGCTGCTTTTTACCCCCCAGGAAGATTCCTGGTACTCATTTCTGTTAGAGGTTGAGTTGACCTCAGGGCCATAGTGCAGCTGGAAGGATTAGGTAAATTTAACAAATCCACCTCATCAGGAATTGAACCCGCTACCTTCTGGCTTGTAACATAGTGCCTCAACCAACTATGCTACTGTATCTATTTGGTATCAATTCCAAATTATAACACTATCACTCCACACTAAACAATTATACTTTGGCCAAGAACACACTCGCTAATTAATATAACTCACACTACTGTGACCTTAATGGCATAAAACTCCTCTCTTTAGATATCACCCTTGCCACATCATAGTCATCATCAATATGCTCCATAATTATGGCAGATTTTACCCTAGTTTGACTTCATTTAAAACAAAAAAATATTACATTCTTTGAGCACCCAGAAATACCTTACCTAACACAACTGGATCACTGCCAAATATAAAATTCATATTACATGCAGAAATAGAAAAAAAAAGCCAAATTACATTACATAATTAATAAATATGACTGACATTTCACCATTTGCTCAAATATGTGACTTTGCAGCATCTGAATCAATCACATGCCTGAACAATGGAGGCAGAGATGATGGTAATACACATGGTTTTTCAGTTGCTTCAATAATCCACTTGCAAATTTTAGTCCCTCAAATATCAGTTATTAGAATCTGAACTAACTGAAGCCTTCTGTTGCTCTAATTTATTTAAGCTGTTGGATGTTTCATATTATGAGCTTCACCCACAGAATTTTCTGATTTTTAAATTATTAATAACATTCTGGTTTTATCACAGATATATAGAGTTCATACAATTTAAAATATAAGCTGCATATTTGCAAAATAACTGTATTGGATTATCTGACATATAAATATATATAACAGCTTAATGCCACAATACTAATGAAATGTGGTTTACATGTCAGGATCCTGTATATATTATATGTGACTGGATTTTAAATTTACAAGGGAAGTTTTGATCATTTTTAACAACATTAACTATAAACACAAAACTCTATAATTATATATTACGAAAAGCACGTTTTGGACACAAATTTTAGATGTGTATATATACACATTCATTTCAAATACAACTAAAAAGTTTAGCTGAATCTTTATTAATGAAAACATGTCTTTCAAACAGTAAGCTATTTCTTGATTGAGATACAATCATATCATACATTCTGCATGAGCTATAACGACATTCTGGTGCCTCACAAATGATGTTCTACATACTGCAACTCATCTAAAAAATATATATACATCTGTGACATATCAGTCTTAATATTATACAGCTTGTTTTCTTTAAATATGGTAGCCTGGGTCCTTGGATGACAGATGAAATTAATATCAATAAAATGGTTGCTACAGTTATACTGATTGAAACAGTAAGCAGAACCTTCATCATTCCTTGAATTTAAAAATTAGATATACGTTGGTGAGTCCTTCAGACTGTTGCCACACGCTTCACAAGTGGCCACGCCCTTCTCGTTGACAAGCGTGCACTGAGGACATTCACGGCCACCACTGGCCAGAGGTCTTACTTCCGGCCCTCTCATCTTGGATTTGCCACACATCTCACATATGTCACGTGAAGGAATATTGAGAAAGGTGCAGGTCACACATTCCCATTTATTCTTGTCCGAGACTTCTGATGACTTGTGACTGAGATCAAGAGAAGTGTCTCCAGCACTCTCCTGCCTCACTTCAATCCTCACCTTGCTGGATGATTCTCGAACAGCCATATTCTTCTCAGGTGGGGTAGACTCAGAAATGTTAGTTGTAAGTTGGGAATGGTTTGTACTATCTGGCACATGTCTTGGATCCAGAGTAGTGGATGAGTAATGGGTCCCAACCTGTGATGACCTATCACGCTCTTCTCCATACCTTCTGGTATCTCTTGGTAACGTCCTAGTAGACGCTTTGTTGCTCATAGCACTGATGTTCACATTAGATTTGCTGGGAGCTGTGGAAATTGTGACTGACCTCTCTCTTTCTGGATTATCCTTTGGTGGGGATGACATATTGTCATAAACACTAGCACTTCCATCTACAGCATCAATACTAGGAGACCTTTTTGCTAGACCTCTATTGCAAGGTTCACTATCAGTTTCCATCCGTATTTTCTGCAGAGCTTCATTTATTTTTAATGGTCGATGCTCAGCTGGCAGTGATTTATGGAATTCTTCCAGCCTTAGCTCCATTAGTGTTTCTTCCAGATCCTTCATTGCAGGCTGTTGCTGGTGATGTTGACAAGAATTTCTGACATCTTCCATGTGATTTCTGTGTGAAACAGAGTTACCTGCCATTCTTTCAGGTGATGGGGACAGTACATCTGGCCTCTCACCCAGATCTTTGCTGTAGCCTTGACTCTCCAAGTTACGAAACACATAATCCCAGCTTTCAAAAGTTCCAGTACCATCTTCTTTAGCTTTGCCAGAAGTAAGTGGTTGACTTTCAACTTTCTGGAGGCTGGCATTATAACTGCGAGGTTGAGACTGTACTCTGTGGTTGTCTTGCTGTCTCTCATTGTTTTTTCTCAGGGTGGCAGTCTGCTGTTGCTGACTGGAGCTATGATGACATACAGTTCGAGGGATTAGGATGGGAGGTGCAGATTCTGTTGCTGAATATGTCTGCTGGGTCTCAGTGCTACTACTCTGCGCTGGAGTGGCCACATCCAGCTCAATAAGTTGACCAGTTGGAACAGGACAATTCAAATTCTGTACAGACGCTGGTGCAGATGGCAACTGAGTTGAAACCGAATATCCATTCTGCAATGGTACTGGAGTCACAGTCACTATTGCTGGGTAGTGATGATGAGGATGATGACCATTTGTAGGGTACAGCTCCTGAGATTTCAATACTTGGTGATGTAATCCAGAAATATGGTGATATGAAGGATGTACTGTTGTAGGAACAGGGTAGGTCACTGTGGGCGGAATAGCTTGCTGTGGGCTTACGATACCAGCATACCTCGGCTGGGGTGGAAGAGTGTATGCATGTGGTGGTCCCGCAGTATATGCAGAGTAGTTATAGTACCCTGCATGGGGCACAGGGTGCAAAGCTTGTACCTGACCATACATACAGCCAGCAGACGGCTGGTGATATCGTGCCGCTGTGCCATATGTGTCCACTGCTGTACCCTGGTGGTACAGTGCATACTGCTGCTGTTGCTCTTGGTACTGGTGCTGATGGAAGTGGTAGATTAGGCCCTTAGCTGCATTCTCAGGTGTTCCAACATGATTTTCACGAAATTCCAGCACTTGTAGCCAGCTGCAGTTGAAGCGGCTTGACACTTCTTCCCAGATGATTTTCAGCAACTGTTGTGATAACACATGTTACCCTACCATCATACTTCACTTAAACTGGGGGGAACAAATTCACAAAGAATAATATAGTACGAAAGAGTGTGGCTGTTATACATAAGTCTAAATATATTATAAGTGTCAAGTGTCCATTCACCTGCATTTCAGTACAGGAGAGCATAGTAACAACCATTCAAATGAAGGGATACGTGCTACTGAAAATACTTAACTCACATAAGAGAACACAAAAATTATCTAATAAATACTTCATACACAGAGTTACTTTGGAGAAATCTGCCAAACTTCATGTAGACATCAATCACATGATCAGAGGCTAAAAAAAAAGGCTTACAAACATGATTCGAATTCAGAAGGTCTACAAAGGCATAACAGTTTGAAAGTAACAATCCAAAAGTACAGGTTAATTAAAAAAGATCATCATAGTTTCAATGCAAAACTTAGATAAGTGCTGAAGTGTCTCAGGCAGATGGTCTGAACAATTTCTTTTAACATGTTTCATTATTAAATAGCACTTATTTTAGTTCCATATTGAAGTTATCATGAAATTTATTCATTAAAAACCTGCATTTCAGGTATGTCTTTTATCTGCCTTTCAAACTGCCATGACTCATTCAACTCTACAAAATGGACCCATGTTAATAGGACTTTAAAAAAATCACATGATTACTCTATCCATAGTCTGGCAGACTCCACTCTGTGCGTGTATAAGATCAGCATCATTATTAACCTTATAGCAAAAGAATTACAGAAGAATAGGTAAATGTACAATAAAATATCTATTTTCTCACCTGACATTCCACATGTGCCATTAATGAATCTCGTGACACACTGGACACCCTGTCAGGATCAATAGGACCATCCAGTACCATCACTGTTTCTCCTGCATGCTTGTATCCCATTGCTTGAAGCATCAACTCTGCCCCAGCAAGATTAGCCTCAATTTCATGTTTGTAGAAACCACAAAACAACTAAGGACAAAACAAGCAGAAGGTCAGTGTCAGAAATGACAAAATTCATGCATAAAACGTCACAATTTGACTCCTTCCTTCCATCAGTTAAAGATAGTGATTATGTTGGTTTATAAAGTGTGAACATCATTGGTGAAATACTGTCATTTCATATCTTAAAACACAGTAAACTCCAATCTTAAGGGTAATTGAGTTATAGAATCTTGCCTGTCACTCATCACTCACTCATGGAGCTGAGCCCTTTTTGAGAAGCTGCCAACTGTGCAGCTGCTCAAGAATTTCCCAGCATTTTATGGAACCTGATGGTTCATTACCGTGCTCACAAGAGCCCTCCACTGGTCCCTATCCTGACCCTGATCAATCCAGTCCATACCACCCCATCCTATCTAAGATCCATTTTAATACTGTCCGCTCACCTACGTTTTGGTCTACCCAGTGACTCTTTCCTTCTGGCTTTCCCACCAATATCCTATACGCATTGCTCTTCTCCCCGCCATTCGTGTTACATGCCCTCCCTATCTCATCCTCATTGACTTGATCATTCTAATTATACTTGGAGAAGAGTACAAGTTATGAAGCTCCTCATTATGCAGTTTTCTCCAACCTCCTGTCACTTCATCTCTCTTCAGTCCAAATATTCTCCTCAGTACCCTGCTCTCAAACACTCTCAGTCTATGTTTCTCCCTTAATGTCAGAGACCAAGTTTCACACCCATACAGAACCACAGCCTTACAGAAGAATAAAACATGACCATAAATTCAATCTTACAAAAATTTGGGGAAAACATTATTAAACATAAAATACAAAACTATCTTTTCTAAAGAAATAATTATATATTAAGATTAGATCATACTTGTGCAACAGTAAAGCTATAGATTTGCGAAACCCAAAACTAACCTTCAACTCTCTATATTCCTTTCTCCATGGTTGGGCCAGCAAATTTGAGGCATACATTCCAATTGCATTCCATGCTGAAGCTGCCCGATAACCACTGAAGTTTTCCTTTTGAGAGGCACTTCGATGTAGCACATCAGCAGTCTCAAGGAAACTGAACTTTCTGTCATGTGGAACAAGGCACAAGTATTCCTTAATGTATCCTTAAAAAAGAGGAGGACATATTAAAGTCATCACATGACATACAGCAACTTAAAAATATCAGGTTTATTTACACTACTGAATTATCATGGATCAGAAGAATATTTGATTCAATTCTGTTATATCACGTTTCAGACTGAATGTTTTATACCAGTATACTGAAGACATCTCAGTTAAGTAATATCCTATGTGTCATGACACTCAGCCACAGAAGCAATTATATACTCCCCTCTATATTTTGCCACTCTTACCTCCTCATTAGTACAGCTTTGTCATTGTCCTGGCCTCTGTCAGCTGTTCAAGGCAAAGGAACTTCTTTGTAGTATGGTTTCGGGTTTGATTTACAACTATTAGTGAAGATACTACCTCATACGATTTCATGCCATTTGGTTTGGTAGATATGTTCCAAAATGTTGGTACCTGACCCATTAATCCAAGTTGCTTCAACTGGTAATGATTCAGACATGGGCTACCCTAACAGAGGTTTTTTCATGGCTTTCCTCAGTCCCTTCATGCAAATGTAGGACAGTAGCACAATTAGGGCCAAACTGATCCCTCCCGCATCATTCCCATTTCAATTCTTATTAATCATTCTATCGTCTGATGCTACCATGTCTGAGATACTGACAATGGCATTAAATAAATCATATTAAATAGCAAAATAAATAAAGGAATACATAGCATCACTTCTCAGGTCACAGTAATCTTCATATTCACTGCCATAAGGTCATAAAATTTCACAGATGAGTGAAGAATTTTCTGTGAACAGGTCACTGCTTTCACATCGGCAAAAAATTTTACTTTCGGAATATAAATACCATTTCTTGATCAAGAGCCCTAATTTAGCTAGGTCTAATTGACAATAGATTTTCCGTCAAGTGCAACAATATATATTTTGATCACTTAATTATCTCATCTGCCTTACATGTTTCGGTTCCAAGGAACCATCTTCAGAGGCACTTACAACAAACCATGAAAACACTGGCACAGCTCAACATTCACAATATGTAATTATTCGTGGAAACTATTACATATAACGGAGTGTAAAGCACAACACTTCCCAGTATCTTGAATGCAGGTATAGCACTTGCATCTAAAAGACCATCCTCAAAACCGAGTCGTCAACATTAAAATTTAAAGATAAAAAATTAAAAAACGTTCAAGTAAAATATTATTCAGGCTCCTTCTTGGTGAATCGTCCCAATGGGGGGAGGCGTCAGCACAGATTTGTGTAGGCTTGTGGTCGGGTGTATCTTACGTGGTGTGCGTTGCGTATATTATATTATATATAGTATATTATATCTATTATTATATTATTATATTATATATAGTATATAGTATAGTATATTATATATAGTATATAATATATATATTGTTGCACTTGACGGAAAATCTATTGTCAATTAGTGATTGATAGTGTAACGGACCAAAATGAAACAATTCAAAATAGCTAGGTCTGTTTCTCCTGGGCAATCTCTCCATCACCTCTCACTAAAAGTGGCATACTTTTCCTCATGGATGTCCATACATCATAAACAGATTCTATCACTAGGAAGATGTCAGGAAAGTTAGTGAGATACAAATGTGTATTTTTTCACAAAATCGAAACAGTGCTCTCAAAATATGAGCAATTAAAGAAGAAAAGTTTTTAAGATTATGTAAAATATGTACTTAACACAAAGATTACGATTTTTTTTTCAGTTTCACTACGTAGCTATTTTCAGAACTTACAAATATCAATTCAGTTTTCTTTACAACATAAAAAAAAACATGAAGGCTCCTCCTCTCTGCATCTCAAAATTACATAAAAATAATTTTATCATTTATTATGCTTCCTTTGTACTATAAGAATCAAGTGCTGCATGCAGACACATTTATCAGTAATTGCTGATTTGTACCTTTTACCTATTTCATACTGAAGAGTAATTCACTATCTGTGTAAGCCAATGGTCTAAACTTTTATGAGCATAAAATTCATATTTTAAGATATTAGCATTACACCTTCTATTAATAGGTGCTACATTTGAAAATGTATACTAGTTCATTCTTCTCTCATCATTTATCATTTATTCTTTTCTTCTTTCACATTTACTGATAATTCATACAGAATGTTAAACAACAAAAAAAAGTGTCTTTCATCAGAAGTACTGGTACAATGTAAAGTAGGTAAGTAAAGCTATCCATGTAACAGGCCATGCAGGTCCATAAGACTGTGAGATGCTGAGGCTCCCACATTTTCTTGGCAATCAGCCAACAGATGGTAGTCAGGTCACCCTTATGTGCCAGCCACCCTTTATACCCCAGGAAAATTGCTGGTACTCATTTCTATTAGACGCTGAGTTTACCCGATGGCCATAGTGTGGCTGGAAGGATTAGGTCAATTGAAAAATCCAATGACCTTACCGGGAATCAAAACCGCAACCTTCCGGCTTGTAGCATAATGCCTCAACCAACTATGCTATCATGTGCCCCCTGGTACAACGTAAAACAAAATTATATTATATACTTCTACACACTGCAGCAATACAGTTATATACCAATCTCACTTATTGCACTGGTATGTAAAACTGATCACGTAAATAGGACTACCTTCAAGTTTCTTCCTCTGTTCAATTTTATGCATGTTTTCATCAGTCTGTAGATAACTGAGATGTAACTGCTCAATCATCATCCATAATTCCGCCAATCGGTTACAAGAGAGAAATTCTGCCATTCCTTTCTCTTCGGCAAATCTTCATTCACAAAATATGCATAATCTCTCTTAACTGAAATAAAGAATTCAACCACATGCTTTTGGGGGGAATACAAATTTTGGTTATATAAACAATTAAAATTACAAAGAAAATACAGTACCACACTTCATCTCGTATTCATTTCAACAAGTAATCATCAGAACATCTTTTATATATAACACAATCTAATTTACAATTGTCATTATATGGTTTAAATTTAAGTTATATTGGTTTACCTTGTAGATTAGAATATGGAACTTCACAATTTCATACACATCATAATTCTTTCTGAATAGGGCTCTATTTACATTTACTCCAGCTACACAACATTGTGTCCAGTAAATTTAGGTTTCATGCTTACAAGCTCAGATGCACACATTACTTCGTATTGTTATAATATGACCAAACTAAATCTAACAACAATGGGTGACAGTGAGACTGAATTTTGCATTCTGGGTGAATAGATATAATTATACATTAACTTCAACACGAAACAGTTCATATTAAATTCAAATTTGACAAAAAAGTTTCAGGACAATATATCTGACTTAGCTTTTGTGACAAAACTAGGTAAAATGTACCCTCTTTCAATACTGTTCTACACCTGAGCATTATAGTCTATTAAGAGTGTTATGACACAGGAAAATACATAATGAAAGTGACAAGACACTTGGTAGCACGTGCAAGATCAATTACGAAATTATCAATTTCACTAACAAAACTGCCATGTCAGTTCAAATTCTCATTATAGAAACCTATCCACATGTAAAATAAAAAAAAATAGTATTCTTCAAAAATTGAAATTTAATGGCTTCCAAGTATAGAAACGGCACTCATAGCTAACCTATCTAGAAAAAAATTACGTTCTGGGAGTATGTATGTAAATCATGTATTTATTTTATATTTTTGAGCTACATTTAACACAAAATAATGTAAAGTTTCATTGCCCTCCATCAATCACTATTTACACGGTTAGTCATTTGACCATTGATTGATACTAGTTATGCGCACAATTATATTGTATATTAATATAGTTACATTTTTCAGTAAGGTCACAGCATGTATACAATTGTTATAATTAACTATCAAAATCGTTCTGTACCTGCTGCAATTTAACCACAACCAAACCAAACTCCATTACCTATCACTGCAACACGAACACCACACATAACACTGCAACCTTGCTCCGAACCGAGGAACTAGCATAGATGGATCATACTATTATTGTACTTACCACTTACGACGAAATATCACATTGCGGCGCTAGTGGAGCAATCTTGGGGAAATCCAGGTGTATAGAGAATTGCTTTAGGTCCTTTAGGTTATCTACTGTAAGCTCATCCACGTTCTACTGCCATCTATCAATGAAGACACCAATAGTAGACTTAGTGTTATTGGTAACTCAGCTGAGTAGATACGGTTAACTACTCAAAAATTAACTATACTGCAATTTTGCAGTTACTGCAGTTCAGATATTTTGGAACGACTGTAACAAATTAAAACGTCACTCGGCAGGAAATTTACCATTCAGTCCAGAACCTTTGTCTTCTCATCTAAAAACATAAAAATTACAATTTTGCCTGTGGTTCTGTATGGGTGTGAAACTTGGCCTCTGACTTTAAGGTGCTTGCTCCTCTGTCAATAAGTACATTATCCAAGCAACCGCAATTAAACGACGGTGTAAACGGCTTTGAAAGGTGTGGTTCAGTCATTATTGCCTTGTCCTCAGCTGATGCATACCAATATTTAGGGTTTAATATCTTGGCATATTGTCTTTCCAGATTCTTTTTCTAATTCATGACATGCATATTCAGTTAAATCATGATTTGAAAGTATCTCTCGCAAGCTCCTCAGTAGGTAATTGCATGGGTGAATGTAAAGTTATAGAATTTTATATTACTTTTATTGAATGTAAAAAAAAAAAAAAAAATGCATATATTTGTATTCAAGTATATTACAAACTGCTTTATCAACTTTTGGTGCTTTGATGTTGTTCGTTTTTAAAAGTTCCTATTCAAATTTCAACAGATGATACGCTAGTATCCAGTAGAAAAAGGCTGTCATCAGACAACTTTACTTTTGGATTTTCAATTTATTTTTGTGGTTTACAGAGCACAATGTAATGCTGGAAGAAGCATTCAACAATGCAGAATAAGTTGTTATCTCCCTCTTCAGGGTAAAGGATGGGGAAATTCCTTCCAACCATCAGAAATAAAAACATACTGCCATTATGAAAACTTAATTTTACAGAACGGTCACAGAAATATATTCATATTCGAAAACGTGTATGTCACCCACAAGATCTCCCTCTCTGATGAATGTGTCAATAGTCAATGGACTGATTTAGCGGTTTGATTCTTTACAAAAGAAAATTTCATGTCAACAAAAAAACTATAATTTCAGGAGTTTGTCATATTAAAATTTACAACACATGTGTTAATTATAAATCACTAGTCCATGATTTATTTAAACCGTCTTGCAGTGCATACACTCATCTATCTCCGTCTCTCACTCGCACTCACGAGTGCGAGTGAGAGATGGAGATAAATGAGTGTATGCACTGCAAGACGGTTTAAATAAATCATGGACTTAAATCAGTGCAACAGGACGCTAAAATATAACATTATAAATCACTAGTTTGGAAAATATAGCACGCTGCATTTGTGACAGGTAACTACACTTTTAACAGTCATTCCACAATAAATCATCATAGAAAAGCACAATTTTCAACATGACCTCCAATTTCAAAGTTCATAAGCTTGTAGATTCAACAAAAAATAACTCTTACAAAGTTCCAGAACCTATGTCTTTAAGTTCTGTGGAGCAGGAGTGCAAAATCAAAAAACCATGATTTTTTTGGCATGCCACATTCACTAATAATCATCACAACTTTCATTCTGTGTAAGCTACAGAGCTGGCCGCGCCATAGCTCAAGTGGTTAGTCGCTGGCTTCCCACTGTGGAGGCCTGGGTCTGGTCAAGTGGGATTTGTTGTGGACAAAGTGGCGCTGAGGTGGGTTTTCTCCGAGGACTTCGGTTTCCCCTGCCAATCTTCATTCCACCAAATTCTCCATCATAATAATCACCCGGGGCAGCTACAATAGGCCAATCAGTGGCCGCCGTGCCGAGTGGACTCCACCCCACAATAAACAAAAAATTTAAAAAGCTACAGAGCTCATAAGGGCCTTGTTTGAAATCTAATAAAATGCTCTTTTCAGATATATATCACACCACACGGTGTTATATCCAGGACAAGCCTCTTCATATTATAACTCACATTCACACAGATTAGTATTGGTCTCAAAGGGACCTGATTTAATCTCTGGCCTTTCATTTCTCACAAAACATAATTTCTTCTGCAAAAAATGTATCTGGTTCATATAACATACAACATATCATTCTGTAGCCATAACCCACTTGTAATAAGACTGTGAACATGCAGAAGATAAAAAATAGATAATTCTGAAACCCAAAACTCACTTACACCAACAGACACAGAAGTAATACTGTCAATTATTCATACTTTTAAACATGACTGTTTGTACACAGTTTCTCTTGTATTTGAACTTGGCAACGATAACAATACATGTTCATCCTGTGCTGGTCTTGGATCTCTTTTCATTACTACTGCTGACAAAAATGTTCAGTACATGTGCCTGTTGAGGATATACATACAATGCTGATGGACAGCTAAAGACAATACAAGGTCAGAATACACAGTGCAACAGGACGTTGCAGTATGTTGTATTTTAGCGTCCTGCTGCACTGATTTTCATCCATGATATATATACAGTTGCCATCTTGTAGTGCACTAAATTTCACGTGTTACTTCACGACATGTTTCGGCAACATAGTGCCATCATCAGGTGCCCTAATTACGCTAATCTATTTCATTGATTGCCTTTATAAAATTATTTCAAAAGTGCATATTTGTCAACTATAATAAATTTACTCACACTAAAACTTGTTAAGATTATTCATCTTATGTGTCATTAATTAAAACTTGCATGTGGTTCTTCCACTATGGGGGTCGTTTTTCTTATATTCTTAGCTGCGAGTGTTGTAATCAAAACTCGCAGCTATGAAGGGGAACACACATCACAAGACACGGTTTACACAGAATATAAGAAAAACGACCCCCATAGTGGAGAACCACACACAAGTTTTAATTAAGACACATAAGATGAATAATCTTAACAAGTTTTAGTGTGAGTAAATTTATTATAGTTGACAAATATGCACTTTTGAAATAATTTTATAAAGGCAATCAATGAAATAGATTAGCGTAATTCGGGCACCTGATGATGGCACTATGTTGCCGAAACATGTGAAGTAACAGGCGAAATTGAGTGCACTACAAGACAGCAACTGTATACATATCATGGATGTTGCAGTATATTAGTGACACTGTTAAGAGAGTCAGGAAAGAGCAATGAATCAGTTTCAAAACTGGGAATAAGGCAACATGTTCAATAAGGAATTCCTGAGAATCTGCAATGTCGTGATTTCATTACAATGGATCCCATGGCTAACCCAGGATGACACTTTGCTGTACATTAAACTGTAACATCTTGAACCATACATTTCTTCCCCCCCCCCCTTCTCTCTCTCAAAAAAAAACACACACACACACTGAAATTCAAACCCGTATCAAGCAATAATCAAACCAAAATACTCTGAATGTTACACATCTGTGAAAACAGCATTTCACTAGCTTTCAAAGTCCATTTTGAGCTTGTACTGAACAAAAGCTAGCCATATTTTTAACGCAGATGGAGTGCCAAAAAAAAAAATCTTTTATTATGTTTATACCCATGCTCCATAAAAACTGCTTGACACAGCATTCTAAAATTTTGCAAGAATATTATCCTTGGTTGCTATAGGCTGAACAAGCATGGTCAGATTTTTCACTTCTCGACAGCATCCAGACCAATCTTGAGGACCACCCAGCCTCCTAGAGACCAGGGTTTGATTTCCTGGGAGCGGGGGTTTGAAGCTGACCACTCATCTTTATCTAGTGCCAAGGTCAAAGATGGTACAGCTATACCTCCACTACCCTGCACATCTTATGGCATGGTTCTTAATTATGCACAGGATTCCCTTACCTTACTGTTTTCTATGGAGTCTACAAGCTCACATGCTCTCATTAAAACCTGATGTCAGGTTGTGGACTGCGATGTCTTGGCTTGGAACATCTCACATCACAACAGTTCCTCATAGTGAAAACAAGAATGTTCAACTTATTTTATTTTGTTGAAAAGCACACAATAGTCTATAGAACCAAATGTGGAAAAGAAACTAAAACAGTATAACATAAATATTTTTATCAATAAGAAAAGAACCTATAGGTGGATATACAGAATTCCGGGTGCTGGACTATAGGGTCCAAGTTATAGCCGCAGTATCCAGCACCCTCTGAAGCACCATTTGGTGAAAATATCACTTCACCACTTTCTTTTATGCATGTAGGTTCAAACATTTCTCACAGTTATGCCAATCAGGGCAGCATATAATAAAAGAAAATGGAAACATTCTTACACTGTGATACAAAGCCTTCATTTGATTCACATTTCATTTTTATAAAACACCCCACTAACCAGGAATGTAAAACCAGGTATTCCATATCATACAGTACTGTTTACATGAAAAATGTTTATTACAGCCCTTTTTGGTGCGGGTAATACAGCAGTAATAATTACATTAAGCTTTTTGTGACACAAAATAGTCTGTGCTGAACAGAGGTCAGCAATACCATGGAACTGCAGCAGCATCGAATTCTGTCCCAGGAAAAGCTGCAAAAAGCAACTAAAGATTCCTATAACTGCATTTATACACATTCATACACTTATATTTTAATATGCACATAATATACCTACAACATCTCAGTGCAATTAACAAGCATGGTAAATTTGTTATTTACATTCTTTTCTTAAAATTAAATAAATATGCAAACTTTTTATCTTGAAAGTCTGCCACTAATCTAGGCACAGAACGATTCACAATATTGTCAAAAACACAGTTTCAATTATCTTAAGAAAGTTCTTTTTGCAGCTCCTCCTTGAAACCCACAGAACTGGTTCAACAGAAATAAACAAAAGAACTCATACCACCAGTACAGGGTATAAGAAAACAGGCCTTTCCCCCAAACGGCTTGTAATTTTCAGGACTTAGCAAGTATTCTGAAAAAGGAAGTACTGGTAGTAAAACTCCCAAGCAGTACCACTGAAACAGGCAGGGTACACTTGTTCAAAATATAAGGGACAATGGCTAAAAAGGGCTGTAAGCAAACAGAACAACTTCTGAAATGCTAGAAGGAATGCACCTGCAACAGTCAATGTGGTTAAAAGCCACCTTTGTTGCTCAATGTCTCCCTTCTGCTGGTAAATCTGTGGTTTGTCAATAAATTGGTTTAATGAGGGATAGGGTTGATTCAACAATATGCATACAGCAGAACACTTATGCTGGCATGTTCACCATCTTTCTCAACAATAACTGTATTTCTGTTTTGCAATTGGTTAATGATCACTAAAATATTTTATTTTAACATTATTAAGGAGTTTCCTTCAGCGTAAAAAGAAACGGACAGCCTGAAGACTAAGTGAACACTCTTTCCACCATTCTGTTTGGTTATATCCTCTTTCTTCCATTCACTCACAACAAATCAAAACTAAATGTCATAGTCATACAAGGAGAGTGGAGTTGAGAGAAATTATTGCCAGTTCACGTGCTGCAATTGCTTGTCTGTCTTTACACTTCTGTGCAACATTGCATTTGCCCATCACTTGCAAATGGTAGATGCATCAGCAAAACACAAACCTATATATGAACTGGTCACAATCTTCACTGTCACTTCTTCCATGGATACAACAACATACTTATAATCTCACAAACATTCACACATTTTCACGGAGGCTTTTCAATTTTCTTTTAGACTAAACAGAATTTAATTAGTTTTAGTAATAGTCTTAGAATAGATGTGTAGAATGTGGAAAGCTTAACTGGTAATCTTATTTTAGCTTTATTTAAATCATTTCCAATTTCAATGGTCTAACATTAACAGACATAACGGAAAAGTTATTTTCACACCGAAATTAAAAGACTGATACAAAACAAAATAAATTCACAGGCAGGAAAAATAATATGATGGCTGCCTGATGATGGGGCCTCAAAATTGATAAAGTCTACTGGGTAATATTCTTTACCCAAGGCTGCACTGGACAGATTAGCTATGACCGATTGCTACTGTCAGTGTCAGAATGTTGTTTAGGGTTGCATAGCCGCAGCCGAGAGTGGAACAGTTCCAGGAGAGATTATTGGAGAGCTGGGAACAAGCCCACTCACCACAGAGTTGCTGGCAAGGGATGGACCTCCTGCAACAAAAGCATTTTTATTTTAAAGGCAATCAAAGTCTCTCATACAGTGGACTTTGTATGTCATACCTGAACACAGTCTCACATGAGACATGGGTGTGCCTGAACAATTTGTGCACAACAGAGTATTAAGGATAAGAGTATCAAAAATATTTTCAAGCAATGCCACAAATATTTTGGGGATGGGGAACAGGAACAATACAAATATCTTCAAGCACAAGTCAAAAAGAGTTTCTCAACAAGAACAAGCAGGGCTATAAACCAGCATACAGTTAGCATGGCACAATCTTCAAGGTATTTCTGAACAGACGAAGTGTTAAAAGTGACATCTGAGGGTCTAACTTCAGTAAATATATAAATTACTGTTTTCTAGAATATGATGCCATGTAGTCTGCTAGAAAGATACATTTTGGAGAAACTTGCTGCCAGCATCTTCAGAGTAAAAGAGTAAGAAAGAAGCACACAAATCCAGAGTACAGAAAAGGAAGATGGGACAGGAATGTTAGTGGACCAATGGATGGCATGCTTGCAGCCCCATTTCCTTTCTGCCCTTCCCCATACCAACACTCTGTTCTCCTGTGCAACTTACCCTTTCACTCTGAAGATGATGACAGCTAGTATCTTTCTTCTAGTCACACCCTAAAAAGACGGTAATCTTCAAAGTGTTAAAAATTTGTAAAATACATGGGGAAATATCAATGGAAACTGCTGAATGACAATAATGTTACTGACCAGTTTAAAATTTCAGTGCCAATCATTATGTCATGAATATTACAAGGAGTCCTTTAGTTAATGGGGCGAAAAAATAGTGACACTAAGTAATGAACCATACTACAAAATGGACCATTCACTTCAAAATCCATGACAATGCAACCACTTATCCTCACAATCTCTGACAGAAAACATACCATTAAAAAGGAACACAAATCTGACATCTTACCTCTTCAGCTGAGGACATATTCTTACACAGAAATTAACTAGCCTACTGTACCAAATGTAAGTGAATAACCAGCACACATGTTCACACACACTAGTTCAAGTACAAGTGAAATTAAATTAAGCTGCAGCTTTTCTGTTCTGTATTTTATGGTGGAACGATTTTTGTTGTATAAAGAAGTAAATGCAATAAGATATTATCTGGCATTCATCTGTGTCAAAATGGAATGATTTCCAATGTCTCCATCACAGGAGAGACCAAGATGATATCAAAGTGATTTTTGCTGTGTTCCAACATCCCAGATGTTTGTTACTTGCTACCAGAAGGAATTAGAGGTTCCCCTTCAACTGTAAGAAATAAGGACATGCCAGAAAGGATTTTTAAGCAATGATAGTGACGATAAGCGAAATGAATATTGAAGTCTGACCCTCATTCAGCAAATTCTCTCCTAAGACCAAGTTGAGAACAGTATACTAACATGAAATATGGGAAAATATTTTATAAAAGTAACCTCCCCAAAACAATTACAGCAATAGGAATATTACTGGTATACATGTGGCAATCATGTTAAGTACAAGAACAATGCTCGCAGACATCATCCTTATAGTATTTTATGAGGCCTGGATATATATAGACACACACACACATCAGGGTCAAGACATTAGTTCTTATGCTATAAAATCATTTCATACCCCTCCAATGACAGTAACATGCAATATCCAAATATGTTCTTAGCCTGTTTACATTAATACTTAGTTAGTTAGTTATTGGAGGGTGGGTTTCCCCATGCACTTAGACCAGTACTGGTCCATTGTGCTTCCCTCTATGATATTCTACCAGTCTCTATACCCTACCGATATTGGTGCGTGCCATCAGTCCCGATCGAGCAAGCGAGTTCGGCCTCTACTGGCTTGGCGGTATCTATAACGCTTCCCCCATCTATCAGAGGCATTAGAGACTACTGTTGGGCGGGAAACGTCCTTGAATTTGGCTCAGTGACCTCCTTTGGAGATATGAGGTTCTTTTACGTGCCGTAAAGCTACGACACGGGACCCACGGCTTAAAGTCCCTCCCAGAGGATTTGTTCCCTGAATTTTTCCGCCCTTATAAATTCCAGACCTCCGCCGGGTTTGAACCCGTGTACCACGAGTCATGAGGTGGGAACGTTACCTCTAGACTACGGAGGCTGCTACATTAATACTTACTCAATGGTTACATGGAAGTGAAACATTAAGAATATTCATAAATCATGTGAAACATTACAGAAAAATGTATAAATAATGAAACTTGTGTAAATGTTTCTTTCTGTAAAAGTCATATTTTTGCTTGAAGAAAAGTCTCCGCCTTAAAACATTAAGTGATACAAAATTTTAAATTGCTTTCATGCTTAATTAAATATCCAGATGGCAGAATTCTACTGCAACATGTAGAGTGAAGTGAACACGTCATTAAACTCATTAAAATATGATCGTTATCAGATGATTTTTTAAGTTGATTTATCAGTGAAATAAACAATAGTAACTGTAACAGCTTTATAATTACTTATGATGCAATTTGAATGTGGTAAAGCAAGTCACTGGAGAGTACTTCGATATCTACCATTTCCTTTCAGAATAACGAAAATGACCAACTGGGTGTAGCGTCATGTACGATAAGCACTGCCTGGGGACTTCAAGGGTAGAGTACCTGCACACGGTTTTACCATACTGCATGTACGCAATGTATCAGTGTTAACAGAATACCCTGGACAACCATTTGTACACTTAGCATATGGAGTGGTCATATGGTAGTTTTCTCATACAACGTTACTGATCTGGTTCAGCATTCTGACCTGGCAACAACTAAGAGCTTTGTTATGTGCCAATTAAGCAGCTTACGCTTGGAACAGTACATTTTTTCTACTAACACCAACACAACAGCAACATAAAATGTGAGAATGGGTTCCATTACCTGCCATGCTACTCACCTACAGGCCCTGAGCCTGCTATGGGAGTAGGTGAAGATGAAACCATGTTCATACGTCCTTGATCTTTCACAATTGGATCTGTCAAAATACCCAAACAATTTATTACTGACATCATCCCAGGGCTAAGTTAATGATCATACCCATCCTGATCCCCTATAAAACCTACATTCATCTCCTCAATGTAAATCAAATGCAAGAACTTTGTGTGTGGCCTTGTAAGCAGGTTCAACTTTTTATGTAATTCATGGATAAGGTAACAATTGGCCAAATACTAGACGATTTCAGACTCAATTTAAGTTGCTAAAACCAGCTTAAAAAGAATATGGTAAAGAAATTGGCTCAGAACTGAAGATTATTTGCTTCTCGATGTGATGTCACGTAGTTCAGTAGACAGTTACAGATGTCTCAAACGAATCTGTTGCCCCATTTTGGGGGTATCCTGAAGATGGAAACAACAGTTTTCTATGAAAAGCTGGTAACTATCTACCAAACTATGTGATGTCACATCCCAGAAGACAGTAAACTTCATAATCACTACTGTGAGAACATCATATCCCACACTGAACACATCTGTTAATGCAACTGAAGTATTTTTCAGGAAATCCTTAAAAATGGGTATTACAAAAGACTATCTTCAGAGGCCTTCCCAAGCAATTTCTTCCTATGCATTAACATTTTTTTTTAGAATCATACTAAAATTAACACTAACATACTATAGTTTCTCCAATTTAATAAAGATTATCCTACGTGCTTACTAGAGAAATACACTTTTGCAAAGCTGTACACTGCATAGTTCATCCTACATAATCTGTAAATACACTTCCATTGCCCTTTTCGAAAACAATCCATAACATTTAAAGGTTTTCTCCACATAAATATTTATGGTTTAAGGAACACAACCCATTCATCAATGTAACATCACATCAGATAATCAACCTTCAAGCTCAGAAAGTACTGTACTTCATAAATGCAAAAACTTGCATCCATTCCAGAGTCTCTTAACCTTTACTGTCTGAACACAGGGGATTTAAATCCTGCAGTACCACATGACTAGCAACTGGATTTTAATTTGAGGTAAGAGTATTGCTACTGAAAAATGCAACATCTGGCTGGCTGAGCCATGCACATGCACTGTTAAAATACTGCAACACACTCAATAAAGGTTAAAACACAATCTTATTAACAACTGGAAGGGCATTTCACTCAATCTTACACTGTCAGCTTGCGCATCTTATCACTGACACATAAATCTAACAAGTGGTAGTCTTAATGTTATTCATTTGACCTACATGATGCTTGTTTTATCAAACCCCAAAGCAATGGTGAGAAATATCGCGGGAGAAGCCTGCTGGCAACATCTGCGAATAAAGTATAAGGTCCTTCAGTACAAAGTAAGGTGTACTTACAGAAGTAAGGATGATCCATGGCTTCCCTAGCTGTAAGCCGTTCATAGTGGTCATATCGTAGCAACTTGTCGAGGAAATCCAGTGCTTCTGGTGACACTAAATGCTGGTTTTCACTGTGCACAAATCTTTCCCATCGTTTCTTTGAGTGTCTGTATAACAAGGAAATGCTTGTCTTAGTAAAACTGGAAACAAGATGCAAGATGACTGCTCTCCTTCAATTGCTTTGTTCCATATGATGAAGCTAGCAAGAACTATAAAATAATAACTATTCAATTTATTATTCACATTTACATGCATATCTCCAGCATCACAGATGCCCACCAAATTAAATTTGTCTGATATAACCCTACATTTGTAACTGCTGGATTAATGATTCGAAACTTTAACTGACGCAAGTAATGAGGCTGGTCTAGAAGTAAACACAAAGAAAACTAAGTACAGTAGAACTTGGTTATAACATCATCAAAGGGACCTAAAAATAGTGTCGTTATAAACGAGTGTCGTAACCGAAATGGGCATTTCCACAGTAGCCTTATGTTAGTCACGTAAAAATCTACCAAAAACCAAGTTAAAAATGTTGCATTTTTTAGTGAAATACGTAGTTAAGTACAGACTAACGTAACATTAATGTGGAATTCCCCAATTGTGTAATATCAAAGACATATTACAGCGCTTTTCACTGACAATACACACTGCACTAATACTGTATATTAAAGGTAGGCCTACTCACCAAATTACAGTAGATTACATCAATTGTTGTGCCTTACTGTACCTAGATACGAGTACAGTAATCAGTTATCTTCATCTGTTTCCTGTTACTTGCCCAATACACACTTTCTAAATTACGTTCAATGTCCATATCAGAGAAATTCAGGAATGAAAATGACGTTACATACGAGGTTGATGCATTTGTGCATGTCGTACTAAGCAAGGTATAAAAACAGTTGCTTTATGAGGAATTAGTTCGTACCATTGAATATTTGACGCAATAGACAAGGTGTCGCAGAAACCGATGTTGCTATAACCAAGTTTTACTGTATATGTTACTGTCGCATCACCAAAATGGAGGGCAAAATCATGACATAAATATAGGAAACAGATGTTTTGAAAATGTGGCACAGTTCAGATATTTGGGAATGATAACAGATCGAAACCATTCAGGAGGAAATTAAGAGGCGACTGAACTTGGATAATGCTTGCTACCATTCAGTCCAGAACCTTTTGTCTTCTCATCTGTTGTCCAAAAACATAAAAATTAGAATATACAAAACTATAATTTTGCCTGTGGTTCTGTATGGGTGTAAAACTTGGTCTCTGACATTAAGGGAGGAACATAGACTGAGGGTGTCTGAGGAGAATATTTGGACCAAAGAGGGATGAAGTCACAGGAGGTCGGAGAAAACTGCATAATGAGGAGCTTCATAACTTGTAGTCTTCTCCAAGTATAATTAGAATGATCAAGTCAAGGAGGATGAGGTGGGCAGGTCATGTAGCATGAATGGGGGAGATGAGGAATGCGCATAGGATATTGTTGGGAAAGCCAGAAGGAAAGAGACCACAGGGAAGACCAAGGCGTAGGTGGGTGGACAATATTAAAATGGATCTTAGAGAGATAGGATGGGATGGTATGGATTGGATAGATCTGGCTCAGGATAGGGACCAGTGGAGGGCTCTTGTGAACACGATGGTGAACCTTCAGGTTCCATAAAATGCTGGGAAATTCTTGAATAGCTGCAGAATTGGCAGCTCCTCAAGAAGGGCTCAGCTCCATGAGAGTAAGTAAATGGAATTTGTAGGTACGTTTATGACATACTATAAAGAAAATTTCACCTACACATAAATTCATGATGTAAAAGGACATTATTTTTTCTTGTTTTAGTTGGTTATTTAACAAAGCTATTGCACTGATCAACAGGATTATTTATGAAGGTACAGCAGCTGGTGGAATGGGAGTTAGGAGGGGAAACTGAAGATCCTCCACCACGAATTCCACATACCTCACCTGAGATCAAACCCAGGCTGTCATAGTGGGAAGCTGACAACCAACCACCTGAACTAACAAATGGCCTGGGGATATAAATTTGGCTTCTTGACCACCACATGCAAACACTGAGGAATATCTCATAGATAGGAAATTTTTGTATGTAATTTCATTGGGACCAAAGAACTATAGTACAAGACTCTAACATCAAGAGGTGTGAGAAATGCATAAGTTGGTAGGTCAGCAACTGCTACCTGGGCTAAAACATAATCCCTTTAGTTCAATCAAGCCCTACACAAGAATGCTAGTGGCCACCATGTTCTGAACTGATGCTATACACAGTATGTATGTCTTTTTCCATCCCTTTCCCCTTATTGGTCCCTTCCTCCTTCACCCAGGAAGTGTCAAGTTTACAGTTTCCATCAGTACACACTACATCAAGGAAAATATTACATCTAGCCTCAGTAAATGAAAGTACAAATTTTGCTAACTACCCCATTACTTACCTGCCAAGAATGTCGTGAAACCTAGGGTCAAGTTCTATATGGTATTTTTCTAAGTATTCAAACAATTCTTCTGTTCCAAGCACCTTGGCAATGCGTACCAACTGGTCATAGTTATCATGACCATGGAAGAAAGGCTCTTTCCTGAAGATCATGCTGGCTAGCATGCAGCCGAGAGACCACATGTCCAGTGAGTAGTCATACATCTGAAACCCAAAATGCTCTCATCTCAATTTATTTTGAAGTCAGAATAAATATCACACACACCTCTTTAAGCACAACAGATGACTGAAGGTCGCAATGCGGGAGGCGGTTTTTATGGCCTACCCCTAACATACAATACATACATACATACACACCTCTTTAAATGATTACAAGCCTCAAAATCACTCTCTCCTCAGTGTACACTCATTCTGGACTACACAAATTTCCAGAGCCAAAAACCAGCAGATCCGCTCTCTTAAACCTAACATGCAAAGGATGTAGGTCCAGAAGTATACACAAAGAAAAGTAAGCATATGTTGTAAGATTTGAGGTTATTTGAGTATATGTTGTCACCAGAATGCAGGACAAAATCATAACATAAAGACAGCTAACAGAGCCCCTGAAAATGTGGCAAAGTTCAGATTTTTGGGCACAAGCATAACAACTCAAAATTTGGTTCATGGGGAAAGTAAGAGGAGATTACACCCAGGTAATGCTTACTAATATTCAGTCCACAACCTTCTGTAAGTCTGCCTGTACTTTTGTAAGGTGTGAAACACACATTGTGGGTTTTGAGAACAGGGTGCTGGGGAGAATAATTGGATCCAACAGGTTTGAAATAAAAGGAGGTTGAATAAAACTGAACGATGAGGAGCTTTACAACTTGTACGCTTCACCAACTATAACTAGAATGAGCAAGTCATGAAGGATGAGATGGGCAGGCCATGCAGCACGAATGGGGGATAACTCGAAGAAAAAAACAAGACCATAGGAAGACCTAGATGTAGGTAGGACGATAATGTTAAATGGATCTTCAAGGAATAGGATGGGGAGGTATGGATTGGTTTAATCTGGTACAGATGGGCACGAGTGGTGGAGTCTTATGAACACGTTATGAACCTTCAGGTGGCTGAGCTACTGGCAGCTTCTCAAAAAGGATTCGGCTCCACAGGTTTAGTTTAGTTATAATATTAATGATTAAATAGAAACTTTTTGTTACTTATGAGTTATGGTGTACCCTTGATTGTTAAATATGTTACTTCTGTCCTCTGCAAATATTTTAAGTCCCAGAATAATCATGAAGACGAGTGAAAGAATTAAAAAATGTTGCACACCATACCAGAACCATGTGCTACATGTGAGATTACTGAAAACTGTATACTGGACATATAATATTTGTCCTCCAAACAACTCATATATATTCCTTGCAATACCTATGAAAAGCGAAATTTGGCAATTAGGACAATTAAAAATTCCAATTGAACAAATTAAAAAAATGTGAGACATCCTACACTGTGAAACAAATATACAGCCATAACTATACATGAGCCACACTATACACATACCTGATAATCTACTAGGAGTTCAGGGCCCTTGAAATATCGCGAAGCAACACGTACATTATACTCCTGTCCTGGATGATAGAACTCTGCTAAACCCCAGTCAATGAGACGCAGTTTTCTGTTTTCGTGGTCAATCATGACGTTATGAGGTTTCACATCACGATGCATAATGCCCATACTGTGGCAGTAGTCTAAAGCCTACAGCACAACATGCCACAATTTCATTACATACAAGTTTATACAGAAAACAACATCGTAATATTGAACAAAATAATATGAACAGTACTAAGTATACATCCATGATTAACACGTTGACTGCCATTGTGACTTTTCACATTCTTTGTCTTGGAAAACGTGTTGAGGAAGACGTTACATATGCATTATTATGATCTGCAACAGCCATTGATGAATGTAGGGCTGTCACAGACTATCTCATTAAGCTTGCATGCAATCAGTAAACACACTGTGGACAAATAGAAACATACTAAAGCATAAGACAGGCACTGGTGACTGCAGTGACAAGTGATAAATGTTCTGCACAGGTACCAGTATCCTCTGGGGCAGTCAACATGTTAATCCTTTTGTTTATAAGGTTTGTTTGCTATCTACAAGTATAAGGCCACAGAGAAATACACTCTTCCCATACTTTTACAATATACAGGGTGTCCCAGGAGGAATGGACCAAACTTCAGGAGGGTGTTCCTTATGTTAAAGTATGCCGATATAACCCAAAACACCTATGTCCAAAGTTGAACGGTTACGGAGATAATGGCCTGAGAAAAGTGTGGTCTTCTAGCGGGTCTACGGACTATACCTATCAGCTGAGAAGCCTTATCTATGTTTGTCCTAGAGTGCCGTGATTCACCCTAGCCGTACTTATGTAGTTGGCTTTATCAGAACGCGCAGTCAGCCAAGTTACGTCAGCGCTTGCCATTCGTGTCTCATGTATAGTGCCTGGAAACCCTAAGGACAATTATGACATGGCGAGCGAGTATTTTGTACTTCAATTTTATGGCTTCATGTCACTCACAAGTTAGTTTTATGTTACGTACATTATTAACATTACAGAATCCACATATTCCTACCAGTTTTAATATGTATTTTGTAGTCAACATGTGTGCAACGCCGGCCAAAATTTCACACTTCTCTGGCCATTATCTCCGTAACCGTTCAACTTTGGACATAGGTGTTTTGGGTTATATCGGCATACTTTAACATAAGGAACACCCTCCCAAAGTTTGGTCCATTCCTCCTGGGACACCTGTATATAATCAAATTCAGTTCATAATAATCACACAAGTTGTTTTAGTCATTCTCAGCACCTTAGTGACATCTGTGAATTTCTGTCACTATGGCCAATGCCACTGCACTTCCAAGTACCTCATCTATTCTTATAATTCCACTGCTCTGCACATGAAAAGTGAAAGACCGAGTTCACCTCTGCCTTATGTAACTTTCTTGCCTATATTGGGCTATTAAAATCTGTTTTAAGATAAGCAACCTGAGTTTCTACAACCCTTGGGTGATTAGAATGGTATATTACTAGCAGTCATTCAAGGACCGCATCATTTATTCCAACATAAATATGTAAATTTTAAATAAAATCATGTGGTTTATGAAAATCTTTACATTAGTCTTCCATTTCTGGCACCCCAATTTTTACCCTATGTAAAATATTTTCAACAAATAGTTTCTATTAAGGAAACCAATAGGGAGAAAATTGAAGGAACGTCTTACAACAAATAACTGTGGTATGTTAGGTAATGTAAACCAACAAGAGTTTCTGCATTGAAGGAAACCATGCAAAGAAATTTGAAAAAATAAATAAATCCTTGCTTTTTTTCTGGAAATACAAAATCCAAAATTGTAGTCCTCTATGTTCTTCTACCTGGTGTACTATGAGACAAAGTATCAAAATTCGAAAATTAAACAACTAAAACGAAACCTTTGAATATTTCCATCAACAGATGCATTTCTGTTCCTAACTACTTTGTTCAACACACTGTTCAAGGCACACATGCATGACAATATGACACCAAATTCTCAAAAATAAGAAATGGTATTTTCAAAGCAAACAATTAATGTGCATCAGTTTCTTTTCTTCACAATCCCCACTTTGGAAGTATACATTATGAACTTATATTAACGATAAAAGTTCTCAGCTCTTTTATGGGATTTCAGTTCTTGTAGTTAATTCTGGCATTCCAAAATATATTAAAATGTCCTTAATTTATATCATTCCCATAAGATAAAACTTCAAAAGGCTGAATTAATTCAGTTCCCAGCTCCTTGTAATTGTGGAGCCAACACAAGACAACTTTCCACACTTCCCAGGCATTTCATCTATGACGCAAACACTGAAAAGCCTCGTGTGTACATTAACCTCAAAGTGCCCTTGACTATGTGATACTTTCACAGCATATAAATTTTGACTACTTTTATATTCAAAATAATTATAAGAATGAAAATTACATTACTCTTTCAAGCCACTTTGACTATATACGTTTGTTATTTAATTCACAGGCCTGAGTAAACCCCTTATTTATATTAACCCGTTGCCGTGGTTCGACGTGTATGTTTTGTCAGGGATTTAAATCGTCTGGGGGGGTTCGACGTGTATGTTTCGTCCAGCTGCACACGTATGTTATAACGCCCATAATAATTGATGGTTTTGCTGTAGATTGTTAGATTTTTCACTGGCCTGTTGTCAGGAGGACTGTATTTAATGCTTTGACGTGGTGATTTAAATTCCGCGGCCGCGGCTCCTGCGGTAATATATTCAGCCGGCCATTTAAATTTTGCTCGAAAATTATTTATTCATCATTGTTCTTAAATTCTATGAGATAGGAACATGAAACTTTCACTAAAATGATCTTAAATTGTGGTTTTATAACCTTACCTTATAATATGGGAGCCCTGTATCTCGGCCATGGGTGCAGGTTGTTTAGTATTTGAGCAGTGAATGGTACGCCTTGAAGGATGAAACTTTCACTAAAATGATCTTAAAAGATGGTTTTATAACCTTGCCTTATAATATGAGCACCCGGTATCTCGGTGGTGGTTCAGAATTTGAGCGGAGTGTTACACGCATTGAAGCATTCTACTATAGACAGCGCTGACTCACATCACCATACCAGTACTGCGTATCTCTCATTTGGCTATTTTTTCCGTAAACAAAACATCTTCTGTGAGGCCCTGCCTTCTTCCCCGTGGGGGGAATATAAGAAGAAATGTCTCTCCGTGAGTCGTATCGCTACCCAGATTAGCTGCAGTAAATTCGACCTTCATGTTATCATAACAAGTGTTGGTGCTTCTGCGTTTCATTTTCCATCCATTTTGGCGGCATAAGACGTCGTAGGGGTGACCACAGAATTCATGAAGTTATTCTA